TGTGTAGGAGGTTAGATCCATGTTCATCGAAGAGCACGAAGGATCCACGAATTCTCCTGGAAGTCGAAGTGTCGTTCCATAAACGGGTTGACCCGCAGTGTATCCAATGTCAGCTTTCACTGCATTGCGGATACTTAGTAAGACGAGTGGAAGAGCGTCGGTTTATTGTGAAACGTTTGCAGCTGATAGCGAAGCTTTCAGTTGTTGGTGAAATCGTTCTACCAACCCGTTTGCTTGTGGGTGGTAGGCAGTCGTTCGGAAGCGAGTGCTTCCTAAAAGTGTGGTCGGACGACGGAAAAGATCAGATTCAAACTGACGTCCGCGGTCTGTAGTGATGGTTGAGGGGCAGCCGAAGTTTGCTACCCATCGTTCGATGAAGGTGCGGGCCACTGTTTCAGCAGTGATGTCCTTGATAGGTACTGCTTCTGGCCATCGAGTGAAACGGTCTACGCAGGTTAAGAGGTAAGCGTATCCATTTGAATCTGGTAAGGGTCCTACCAAATCCAGATGAACATGGTCGAAACGAGCATCGGGAATTTTAAACGAGCCTAAGGGACATTTATTGTGTCTGATAACCTTAGATTTTTGGCAGCTTACACAGGAGCGTGCCCACTCCCTCACGTCTTTATTCATGCCAGGCCAGCAAAATCGTTCTGCTATAAGCTTGATGGTTGCACGAACACCTGGATGAGAAAGTTTGTGCACTGTATTGAAGACATTGCGTCGATAAATTTTCGGCACGATTGGGCGATCCCTACCTGTAGATGTGTCACAAAGTAAGGCTTCCTTACCTGTTCCCATCTGTTTGATGCGCAGTTTAAGGGTTGTGGACGATAACTCGTGCTGAAGACCAGTGTCTTCTTTTTGAAGCTCGGCGAGTTTAAGAAGGTCGATTCCTTGGAAACTGTTCAAGGAAGTTATGCGAGATAAGGCATCTGCGACTACATTGTTTGCTCCAGAAATATGTTGAATATCTGAAGTAAACTGCGAAATGTATCTAGCAACCGTCTAGAGAAAAATGCTAAGGGTTGCCATGAGTTGTTAACCCATTGTTGTAAGACTCCTCCGATTGCCGAGTCGGATGCGTCTACTGCGATGCTAATGGGTGCTCGGGTGTCCTGATGTGCGAGCATTGTTGCTTTAGCAATCAGTTCCTTAACTGTGGAGAATGCTTTTCGTGCGGTGTCGTCCAAATTAATGGATTTCGCATTTCCACGAAGTTGGTCGGTCAGAGGTTTCATAAGTAATGCGCATTTGGGTATGAAACGTCTATAGAAACTTACCAGGCCGTTGAACGTGCGTAATTGCTTGACGGTGGTCGGTTCTGGGTAATCCAGAATGGCCGCCACTTTGGTTCTAAGGGGTCGGATACCTTGAGCATCGATAGTGTGTCCCAGAAAGTCTAACGAGTCGGTTCCAAATTGGCATTTCTGAACGTTTACAGTTATGCCATGTTTTTGTAATCGTTCGAAAACAAGGTCCAGATGCTTGAGATGTGTTTCTCTGTCCGGACTTGCGATTAGACAGTCGTCAACATACGCGTGTACGAAGTTGAGACCTCGAAAAACGTCGTCTATGAATCTTTGGAATGTTTGAGCAGCATTCCTTAGACCGAAAGGCATTCGCAAAAATTCATAGAGTCCGAAGGGAGTTATGATAGCTGTTTTCGGTATGTCGTCAGTAGCCATAGGGATTTGGTTATACGCTTTAACCAAGTCGATTTTCGAAAAGACAGTTGTACCTTTCAAGGTAGCTGTCAAATCGTGAATGTGAGGCAACGGGTAACGATCGGGAATGGTTTTCGCGTTCAATCGCCGATAGTCACCAGTTGGACGCCAATCGTTGCTGTCCTTTTTAGGGACCATGTGCAACGGAGATGCATATGGGCTACTTGACGGTCGTATGATTCCTAAGTCCATCATGTGATCGAATTCGTTTTTCGCTAACCTTAGCTTTTCAGGAGCTAGTCGTCGTGCTTTAGAGAATACAGGTGGTCCTGTAGTCGTGATGTGATGTGTAACATTGCTGGTTACACACGGTAGTTTCGGTTGAGTTTGTTGTATCCCAGGGTACTTATCGAGTAGTGGTTGATAGAGTGGGTCTATCATATGTTTAACTGTGACTGGGGATACTCTACAACCAGTAAAAGAAGTTACGCAAACGGACAAATTAGTGTTTCCGTCTACTAGCCTCCGTTTGCGAGTGTCGATGATCAGATTGTGGTGTTGTAGAAGGTCCATACCAATGATTGGCATAGAAACATCTGCAACGACGAAAATCCAGTGGATGGGTTTGCGTAAACGTACCTTTTGCCATACGTAGCGATCGGTTTTCCGTTTGCCGCCTGTAAGTTTAGGGTCGATTCGTGAAGTCGGTCGTTAGGATTTGCTGGGAGAACGCTAACTTCTGCGCCAGTGTCGACGAGGTAGCGAACTCTCGTTGTCACATCTGTGACGAATAACAGACGGCTTTGTTCGCCGGCTACGGTTGCCGTTAACGCGTGCCGGCTTGGAAGTTTCCGATTGTTTTTCGAATCAGTCGGTTTCGTGTTGGGAAAATTGCAGGGTTTTCTGCAATTTCTGGAAAACTTTCCATACTGGTTATGATACCAGCACCAGTCGGGGTTATCTGTCTCTCGTGGTCTAGAGACAGATCGCTTACGAGAAATGCTTCTACGTGGTGTGCGCGATCTCTTACGGTCGGTACGAAGACTAAGATAACGCGTGAGTGTGTGACATAAGTCGGTTATATCATTCTGAGTCGTGTGAGGCTTTTCTTTGACTGAAAATACCTCGGTAGTAGGTTTCGTAATTTCTAGAATGCGGTCGGCAGATGCAGCTAGTTCGTCTAAGGCGTTGTTCTGGAACGAGACCAGAACTGCTTGCACCTGTTGGGGAAGTTTTGACAAGAAGAGTTGTTTGAATAGACCTTCGTCGAAAGTTCTTGGGCCTATAACCTCTCTCATCCGTTGCAACATGTCTGTCGCAGAACCGTGTTGCAGGTCGATGTTATTGAAGAGTTGATCTAACCTTTGTCGATCGGTTAGGTCTCCTCGTTTAAGAATCGAGCGTTTTAAGATTTCGTAAGGATCGGAAACATCACTAGTAAACATACTAGGTGTTACGTACCTGTTGAATTCGCGCGGTAGTGCCTTGACTACTGCGAGGAATTGTGCACGTGTGTCGATCACGCCGTGCTCGGAGAAGTCGGCTTCTGCGTAGCAAAACCAGGCTTCGATGTTGTCGGGCCAGAAAGGCATCAGTTGAAACGAAGGTGGGGACAAGGTCTTAAGCTTGAGTACTTTAGGTGTCTGTTCAGTCATGATGAAATATGAAGTACGATAATGAACGAGGGGAAAATATATATATATCCAAGAAAAACACGAAAAAAAATCACAATGTTTAAAAAAAATAAAAAATAAGGCAATGATATATAAAAATCCCAAAAAGGAACAGACTCACAGTTGCAATAAGGTGTACCAGATCACGACGGTCTCACCAATGATGATGTCACAGGTATTCAGTGTTTGACAACGCTTCTACCAGTAACACCTTCTAATATATTTCGTTCCCACCAAGAGAAATCAAAAGACAGAGTCGAGGAGATCGGAAGAGTATATTTGGCGATGACCAATATATCGGGATTCTCTGATCTAATCTGGCTAGCGATTGCGGTTGATGTTGAGCACGGCGTTACCACACGTGATCTGGTGCGGATGCCTGACCGAGCGCCTTCAGCTAGATGAGTCCACTAAAACATATGGTCAGCATCCAATGTCGAAAACTTAGTGCTATTTATTTTGGGGATTTATTTACCGCTACACTACTATTTTCTATCCATCGACAGAACCCCAAAGGTCTCCTATGTTCGCCTTTATTTTCAACAACAGACCAAAATATATCTGCAATGCAGTGGAAAAGCGGTAAATATTTCAAAAATTTTATTTAAAAAGAAAAGCGTATTATTGTACAACAGTAGAGCACAAGCTGAAGCATCGATTGTTATGCATATCCAATGCAATTGCTAATTCATTGTAAGGGGGAAATAGCGACATTTCCCCTAAATAACCGACGTAAAGGCGAAAAAGCGACATTTCCCCTTTACTTCCCCTTTCGTCCGCTTTATTTCCCCTTTCTTTCCCCTTTTTGTGTTGCTTGGGCTCCAAAATACTTCACAAGCCCAGGACAAATTACTTGTCAGCTGACATCGACTTTCCAATCGAATCATCAACGAGTGGAATTCATTAATGAATAAAGTAGACAACTAAGCGCATAAGTAGGCAATTCGGCGGATATTTAGGCGAAAATGCGACAAATCGGCGGATATTTAGGCGAAAATGCGGCAATTCGGCGGATATTTAGGCGAAAATGCGGCAATTCGGCGGATATTTAGGCAAAAATGCGACAATTCAGCGGATATTTAGGCGAAAATGCGACAATTCGGCGGATATTTAGGCGAAAATGCGACAATTCGGGGGATATTTAGGTTATAAGTCGGTAATTTGTCGACAAAAAGGCGAAAAAGGGGAAAATCCGCATTATTTCCCCCGGACAGGCGAAAAAGGCGAAATTCTGATGCGTTTTCCCCTTTATTTCCCCTTTCGCTACCGAAGCATTAACCCCTTTATTTCCTCTTTCTTCGTCTTTATTTCCGCTTTTTGGGTTGTCTGGGAACAAGCCTCCTGTCCTTTCGAAACTGAAATTTATCATCATAGATTTGTCCTATACCATGGATCGTTATCATGGGACCACTTTCGTTACTTTAAGAATGAATGTTACCGGACATAGTGTGGCTGAACTCAAATCAGATATAACAATGTCTTGACTTAACCGCTTCTGCAAAACTATACGGATTGTCGAGGTGACGCACCAATCGTTTTACGACAGTTTGACCTTCAAATGCTCAGTAACTTCCAACGGTGGACAATAACAGTGAAGCGTTGCCTTGATTTACTAACTGTGGCTTTCATTTTATGTCCACCTTAACCTACAGGCGTTCTAATGAAGGTGAGATATTGTTTTAGACTGGAATAAAAAATCTGAAGGTGCGTGTGATTTACGACTTTGTTGCTCAATGGAGTGGTGAATTAACTGTTTGTACTGGAGAGGAACTCACAATCACAAATCAAAATGTCGGATCAGGGTGGTGGCAAGCAGTCAATGCGTTTGGAAAAGAAGGTCTCATTCCATCAGAATTTGTTGAAATTATTGAGTTACCAGAACCACCAGTACCACCTCCTCCTCTACCTACTACTGAATTTGGGAAGGAGATTGATCGCTGTGATGAATGGGATGATGAGTGGGATAGTGATGAAAATGATATTCCCAGTTCGGTAGGTTGATTATTGAATGTTTCGTCAGCATTCCATAAGCATAAGTTAGCGACTCGTTAAAAGCCGAGGATGTCAAGTTATTTAGCTAACTTTTCATATCATTCACTGTCACATGCTTAGGTTTTTTGTTATGTATAACTCGTAGTTTTAATATACCAAGCTAGCAGACGAGGTAGTATTTCCTTTTGGTGGGTAAATTTTCCAGAAAGACGTACCTTAACGTAAAATAGCCTGCCATACCCAACATTACACGTTTGATTCATAAAGGGTCTGATACACAGAGTAGACTAATCTCCAAGGCGGATAAGTGATTGTGTGAACCAGTTATTTAGGTCCCTGCCTCCTATTTCGAGTTGAGGGCGTTACAAATCAGAGATCATGTATGAGATAACACCTACTGTAAAGATGTGTAATAATGCTTATGGAATTATGTGTCATGAAAGTTACACAAAACAGGTGTCTTTCCCAATGTTGCTTTTCTTGGTTAGGCTATCAGAATCAATTTAAATCACGCTTTTGCTCTTTACGTATAGAACAAAAATCCGAATGACCGATATCAACAGCCAGTTGAATGCAGTACATCGCAAACCGGAGGCAAGCAGACGGACCCCTTACTGTCAGCGTCTAATAATGTTGATTACGTACGCAACACACTTATACGAAAGTTTTTTCACAGGTTAGTTCCAGCTTTTCAATGTACTTCCATTTGATCATGTACTGACTCAATGTCTCTACACAAATTTTGAAGATAATTCATGTTAATTAAATTTAGAATCAAGATCGTGTGGCGCATATGTATTGGCGCTCTCTTGTACCAATATTTATGTGTTCAAACAAATAAATAGAATCAAGATCTTTATCACCCAAAAGTTTTAGCCGAGCAAAGTCATTACGAATATCTTCAAGGTCACTAGTCTTTGGTATGCAGTTTGGAAGAATGAGGGGTTTGCATTTAAAGTCCGTGAGTGAGTGGGATAGATGATCCTAATGAAACCCGTGTACTCATTTTTGAGCTACACTTTTGTGTGTGTGCTAGTAAAATCATCTGTACATCGAAACCAAACTAGATGGAATGTGGCTCAGACATATGACCCATTGGTTGAAAATCAATTACCTCAACCACATTCAGTTACCCATTAATAATTTTCTAAACCAACAATATATATTAAGCAAAGTTGATGGATTGTCGTCCTTCACCAACCTTGCTTTTTAATGATCTTGTTAGATATGTGGTAATTATTTAGCGGCGTCTACTGAACTGATATATGGTCGGGAACTGATCGCGTCTGGCTTTGAACACGAGGAGCGGAGGCAGTTTAAAAGTAGGTTGGTAGAACGCGTGCGCAATGACCGTTTGCAGTTGTGGGTAGTGAAAGCAGAAGAGATGGGAAGGGCAGTAGCGATAGATGATAGCAGACAACTGTTCAGATCTAGCAAGGAAACGGGTATTAAAAATTTGGCTGTTAGTATGGTTATGGTTCACTCTCGATCCAGGAGACTGAATCGATAGATAAAAATTTTGGGGTACAGTTCAAGTGGCCTTCAGCCACACTTTAGTGACCCACGTTCTCCAAGCAACCTAAATGGCGAATCGACACAAGTCCTCCAACTATAAGTTAGGTTGAAAAGGCTATAAATAACCTAAAGCGAGGAAGAACAGGAGGCTCAGATGAAGTAGTCCCTGAAAGCTTTGAGGATGGTGGTCCAGTTTTGGCAGTTAGTGACAGATCTTAGCTAGAATCTTAGATCTGAATGTAATCCTGTTTGACTGATCGTTCCAGCCCGTACAAGACGACACAATTCCTGGTGTAATGATCATAAAGGAACCAATCCGACTAGCATGGTATCTAAAATAACCTCAGCAATACTCGAATACTCAATTAATGCTCGTGAAGAGCGAGTTCGAGAAATCCATTCTGGTTTCAGACCTGGGCATCAGTTTATCGATCAAATATTCACCCTTCTCTAGGTCCTAGAAATTAGACATACTTTCCGACATCCGACTATAGTTGTATTCCTTGACATTAAAGGACCAATTAACTCTGCTGGTCGTGAGATTTCGCAGCTGTCTCTTTATTGGATGACTTACCAAAAAAGTACGTCAACACTGTACAGGCTCTACTCAAACAAATATAACATCAGTCCATGAAGTCACTGGCAACTGGATTGGGCCACGTCAATAGTTGTAGACTACCTGGTTTGGATCCACGTGATATTCGTAAACAGCATATTATGACAGTCCAGTTTGTGCATCATTTTTTGCATTTGTTTCAGGCATTCACCAATCAATTCTTTGGTTATCGACTTAAATGCCAACATATTTTTTAAATACTGTAATAATTTCTCAGTGAAACTCACGGTTCAGTTGACCGGACAAATTGTACTGTCATATATTATATATCAGTGAGTTTTAGCTAAGATTGAGTTAGATGATTCTATCTGAATTAAAAATGTGTTCATTTTGATCTACTGAGTCTTTGCATTGTAACAATAAATTCATATGAAAGCTGTTGTATTTTTTCTCATTTTCATTTTAACATTTCTTTGATCTCATCATAGATCATTCATCCGTAATGGTTGTGAAGATTTCTTGTTGGGTCTCGATCCACCACCTTTTCCTCAAACCGAAGCTAATATCGATGTCAGTTGATAAGTAATGTAGCTATTTTCCAATTTGTTTTCGTGCTTTCTAAAAAATAAACTTCCAAACTTAGTTTGCATTTTCAAATTCAGCGTCAAAATGTAAGATGTAAGTGTGTCTTGATAGTATCAAATTGGGTGGTATATGTCATTTGGTGTTGTATACATGCCCAGAATTTGTTTGTTATAGTGTAGAAAATCAGAAACCATCTAGTAATCAAGAATTTCAAAGTTGGTCCTCATGACTGAGTTTTTAAATGTTAACATGCTTGCTACGTGGCTGACAAATCCCCAAGTACAGGGTGTGTAAATTTTCTAGGTATTCTCAATTAATATACAATATCTATCTAGTTTTTCTAATAGATTTCTGTGATATATTGATTTTCTATAATTTAAATTACACTGAATCTAGCTAGACCATAATTGAAAAACCGTAATCACTGGACAGCCATTCCAACCTAGTATGGGACTCCTTAACAATGTGCACCCACGATCTCACTACAGAAGATCAAACTCAGGACCTTCATTCTTGCTCGTGAAAGCAACATCTCTAGGTCATTGAGCCAACATCCAGTGGTGTTAATGTTTGTCTAGCTCCAATCACTTCATGACATTCCGCAACCACCTTCCATTACCTACGGTTGATAGGTGTCTTACACACGACATGATTGAACTACACTGGTCGATGCGTCTCTAGGATTACTTGAGTTTCATCGAGAATGCAGTCACTGGCGAGCACATGGTTGTCGTCAGTGTAGGGGAATTCATGGGCGTGTAGAATTTTTTATAGTTTGAATCTCAAACTTTTCTTGACTAGACCTCCATTAGAAACTTTGAAGTACTGAATGTCAGTTTCGTCCCAATATTTTACTCTTTAGGACCGGGATTTGGGGAGAAAACTTACAGGTCACAACTCAGTTATAATTCTAACCCTAGACGTAATTCCTAACTATTATCACATTTCAAGATTCATTCATATTATGGTGAAACCGTTCATTCATAGTTTCTACTATACTGTTAACTGTTTTATGCTTCTTATAAAATGTACCTGCTAGATTAAGAACGCTGACAATCAGCAATATAAATTTAGGAAAAAGTATAGGAAACAATAATTGTAATAGTGAAAATATTTCTGTGTATTTTTATCCTCATAAACTGTTTAAGTCTATAATGTATGTAACTATGACTTATTAATTGAACTAGTTGTTACATGCTTAGCTACGTAGGTCATTACATTCGATGTCAGTTAATTTAGGACTGGAGTAAAAACGATTGCAAGTTGGTTAGATCAGAACATGGCATTCAAACATTTGTGTGCGTTATTTATCTCTTTCATAGATTGTAAACATACTGCCGTTGGTCACATAAACTTGTTTTCATTTTATAAGTTTAGTTGTCCGTGACATTTGAAGTGCTGTTAATAATTCAGAGCTTAATATGTTTATAATGTAAAAAAACTAGCTCTCGTAACTTACTGAGATTTTATATTGATAAGTTGAACCGACATGTCAGTTTAATACGTTTTACGCTGTATGATATTTGTCTATTCTAGCCATTGAAAGTTACATCGCCTGATTGTTTTAGCATTGTTTTCTTTCAAAAAGTGATACAAATGCACCACTGTTTTTTTTGGTAAATTTATGGTGGAAGTGAGGCGGTTATCACCAGCGAAATAGAATAATCTTATTTTACGAACTCAATAAAGTCAGAAATATCAACTTTGTAGATTCCAACTCAGTGGTCTAAAGTTACCTCGTTCACCACCACAGCAGATAGTCCCGAGTCCGAACGTATGTGGCGCCTTTCATTGTGCACACTATTGATGAATCACAAGACATAGTCAAACATCTGTTTACTGCACCTTGGATTCTAATAGTTCTCTATCTAATGTCAGTTCGTGTTAGGGAACTAATTTCCGATTTTGTAACCTTTAAAACCCTTTTACCATTAAACTTGATGGATTAAATTTTACAATTTTATTGCGTATATTTCGTTAAGACTATATAAATTCGTATGTTAAATTTTCAGTAAACATTTAGCATTAAGTTTTCATCATCCACAAAAAAGTAATTCAAATTTAGGCTTCTGGATTGACGTTATTTGATTAGATTTGGTGCATGGTGTTCACATAAGAGATGAAAACTAACTAACTAACCCTTTTTTATAGATTGAAATAAAACATATTGCTTATTTTACTTCTGTCTAATTATCTGGTTTCATTTATTTTACCCTCATTTCATTTACTGCTGCTGCTCTTCTACTCTAGTATGTAGATGATTCTTTCCAATGGCGTCACTTGTCAAGAGATCTCACTAGCTGTATTTCATCGTTTCGTAAAGATTCAAAAATGAAGGGGATTAAAAGTTTTATCGCTTATCAAATAACTAATTCAGTAGGTTTTTTGATTATTTTTTATTTATCATATATATATATATATATCAAAAGAATAACTGTGTTGAATACATTGATTTACACTTGATTATGCTTAGTTTCCTTATCTAGGTTATATTTTTATGGTTTGCTTATAATTTTGAAATGGTCAGGTCAGAGACATTAAATATGTAACCTAATCTCGAGCTCCGAAATTATGGAACTAACCTGTACAACTTCATGTAGTTTAGCTTTTCATACAATTTTGTACATGGAGTATCTGAATCACACTTGTTTTTTAATGGTTCTAACTCTCGGAAATGAAACTTTTCATATTGTAATCAAACAGAGGCGAGTGTGACTTTCGACAGTATAAAGTTCTGATTGTTGTATTTTCTAACCAGACTTAAGTTGAAGTACTTCACTTGGTCCATTTACAACCATTCAGCTCTAGTGGAGGAATCGGAAAAGTGCTATAACATTCTCATGTAGACTATTTACAATCTTGAATGTTTTCACTAATTGTATCTCCTTTGTTGTTTGGATTATCATAATACATATATTTTGTTCCCTCTTAGATCTTGGTCAGATATGGTAAGACTGGAGGGAAGTATTGTGTCCAAGAAATAATAAACATTGGAAAACATAACAATGTGCTTGGAAAATTTTATTTTAGTCTTAGCATCTTGTCTAATCGCGGATTCATTCCCTATAAAAATATTAAATCATATTAGATTTCAGGAAGCTGACTCTCGCTTTGTAGTTCCAATCTTCTTCATACGGCTTCATAGCTTGGCTACTGCTACTTGACTAACTAGCATGAAGCTTACGCCAGAAAGTGTTTACTGCAGACTCATTCCAACTATAACATACTGCACATGATATCAAGTCACACTAGTGGCCACATTTCCCAGCATTATCTATAGAATTCGATCATCACTAAGGGACTAGTGAACTATCATGAAACTAGTCCCTACCCACTCACTGATCAGTTAATTGTCAACGGGCTTCACTCAGAAGTATAGCTCAAAGTTGGGTACGTACTTCCCTATTCTTGATAAACAAGTTGCCTTGACCTACCTGACTGACCAAACTGAATTAGTTGAGACGAGGTTTGCATCCAGAATCTTGGTTGTAAACCGAGTGGCTTAATCACTAAACCGTAAAGTTTTATATGCACTAATATTTTTCTTATTTTTATCGCTTACGTGTGCGTTAATTCACACTTATTAGATAACGAAAAATGAATGGATAACCTCACACAGGAATAAAAGGAAAGACTGATTAATTACCCGAATTATGTATATAACTTTAATTAATAACTGATGCGAAAAGTGAAAGTGTGTAGGATAAAGCTGTGAAGTATGAGAGCGGATTAGTTAGGTTTAAGAAAGCGATTTCGGTATCATAGCTTTAAATTCAAACAAGAATGTTGACTGTTGATCGAATGCTTTTTAATCTTGACGGTAATATAATAATATTGTTGTAATCGAGAAATAAAGCCACTAGAATTTAAACATAAACGTGATCAAGTTATATTTCGATACCGCTTTTGTATCGTTTTCAGAAATCTAAAAGAGGCTGACTCATTCTCCACTCTCTCCAAAATGACTTATATAAATAAAACATTTAGTCATAAACCGGATTATGTGAATCCCAGTAACCAGTACAATTATCTTTACAGAGGTACGTGAATTAACAGGATCTTTGAGGTTTAGGAAATGGTCATTGGAAAGTTAAAAAAAGTGGTAGATTTCCACATTAGATATCTCCATAAATAACACTTCGAAGAGTATACCAGATAGACTAGCTTCAACCTTGCTTCCTAACTTTATGAAAAACGTTGGGTCAAGGAAAAAAAAACAACTATGGAGTGTATAACTGCCTTCTATGATTTAAATACGACCATCACGTTTTTGTTTTTGTTCACAAGCTCATAAATTTGTGGACCATTTTACAGGGTTACATGTGAATAATCTCACGATGATTTGATTGCGCCTGACGAATTATCTCCTTATAAATATCGACAAAGAAAACCTATTTTCTTCTGACGTTCGGTTTTGTACAAGACACTTGTATAGGTGTAAGGCAAAACGGGGAGTTGTTATTCTTTGTCCGATTGTATTACAATCCTGTCGTTATTATCATGTTAATTTTGTCAGTTACATTGTTCAGTAGTTTGGAATGATAAGTAAGATGTATGTCAAAGGAATGATGTTGAGATCTAAATAGATTATTCCAATGCGTTTCGTTAGCATCAGATTCTTAAGCTGTACCTAATAAATGTAGATTAGTTGTTGCTTCTTGACATAGTTTAATGCGCAGTAGTTCACTCTGTTCTACTTTATGAATATGAAACATAACCATTATGGAAATAGGATACTTTTAGTTTACTAGTATTCGATCGTGAACGTCTTCTAAGGGTTCCTCGTAGATATTGGGACCATGTTTTGTACACATTATTTTATTTTTTTACAAACTGTTTGTTCTGATTAGGGCTGAATAAATACTGAGTTGTGAATGATTTGTTTAATTAATGTGTAGATTTTCTACTTTTTTTTGTCTATATGTGTTTTTAAAAAAACGTAGGTTACGCAAACTCAAGTCAGTAGAAGATATAAACATTTTGATTGGCTTCATTCACGTTTATTATCAAAATATCCATGTATTTGTATTCCACCATTACCGGAGAAGGCAATCACAGTAATATATATATAACTATTACAAAATTGTTGGATGCTCGGTTAACTGCTTTATTTGTATACTTTAGTTAACGGTTAGAGAATCATACTCAGAACATGAGGTTAGTCAGAATCGGTTTATCTATTGGTATTAAAACACCTCACCTTTCGTATTTTTAACATCAGTCAAATGATAAGGTTTTCCAACCCATCGTCCACATTTTTATTACAGTACAACAGTTGCAGATATTGTGATATATTACTCTATTGATATTCAGGAGACTAAAATTGAATAATTTACTTCATTGTGTATTTTTACCATATAGATTGGAGAATGTTTTTTTATGAAATTAATCAAATCTCTTGATCATATGTGTCACAGTAATAGCACATAAATAAACTACTTTTCTTGGTAGTTTTCTCTAAATACACTTGTTATTTGCTTTATAACACTACTTAGAATTGTTTAACCAACACATTTGAGTAAAAAAATACGAGCCCAGGTAAGCTAAAACAAGCTACTGATGATCGACAAATAAGCTAAGTATTTCATGCACATAATCCCATTCATCATTTTTCAGAGAGCAAAATCAAAAACTTCAACAGAATATTGTAAACTCATTTAATTGGTCTGGTTCTCTTTAAGCTGTAATATTTAAAAATCGTAGTGATGAATTGGGTTCAAATTATATATATATATATATATATATATATATATATATATATATATATATATATATATATATATATATATATATATATATATATATATATATATATATATATTGATGTAATTGATGTAATCATTACCATGACAAGGATTTGGAATGACGACATCGGCGTAGACAATTATCGATTTAAATTATATCTTATTTCTACCATTCTCAACCTGATTGCTTTATAGTATGCAACACACTGAAAATGATTAGTTTTCTCAGATCTATATATGAAGCTACACAACTATAACGAATAATTATCAATTCAATTTTCTCTGTTTATTAGACATTGTTATTTTCTTAAGTAATTTAAATTACATGAGGTGTTGTCTAAACTAGGACTTAAAAACAATACATACCCAATTATATATATATATATATATATATATATATATATATATATATATATATATGGGGACCTATTATTTATCGAATGAATTTTCAGTGAAATAAGTTGACCATCTAAGTTATTTGTCAATTCTTAAATAATTAATTAATTATATACAAACATTTCTACTTATATCGTCATATTTTTAATTGAATAATTTGTTCATATTGAAATATTGTTTTGTTTATCTGAACATTTTTTTACTAAACTTATTTAGTTTATTTTTAATTTTCATTATTGTTCATTTAATTTAATTAAACTTTCATAATTTTGATATGATACACAAGTCACCTTTTGGTAAATTTACCTAACGCTTAATAGATCCGATTTAACTGAAAAAAAGAAGATAATTACTTGGAAAATGATTTGAACAAAAAAAGAATGTTTACGGTATGTATTTCCACATGTACAAAGTTAAAGGGATGACTAGGTGGATATTAAACAATTAACTGCTGGATCCAGTCAGTTGCAACTGATTGTCATCTCAGTATTCATATTCGGTGGAAGCATTCAACTTTCGACCAGGCAGTGACTCGAGAATGTTTAGATAGAACAGAGTTTCCACCATGGGCGAGCTGCTGTATAAGTTGAAAAATGGGGATACATGAAGTGAGAATAGAGGTAGATAAGTGACGTAGTGTATAAAAAAATAGTAATAATAATAAGTGAATATGAAATGTCTGAACTCTAATTGGAGCAAACATAGTCTTTCGTGAAATAATTGTCATCTCATCAGATTTGTGTGAGAGCTGTCCTACTGCCCACGTGCCCAGACCGAAGCAGGTGGTTTTCTTAGGGGGCCACACCCCGAGCCTTTGACCCAAAGGTCTGATCCACAAGGCAGTGGAGCATCGTAAGGAGATGCAACCCCATGGTAGCCGATGACCAACGACTGTTTCATACACTATTGGTTTGGAATCAGGGTTTCTCAACCCCCTAGGTGGACCCTCTGTGTCCACCAACCCTGTTAAAGTGCCGGATTTTCGTTTTTCATTCTCTCAATTTCGTAAACAACACGCGTGGTGCGAGAAAGCAACGAGCAGGACTTCCCTGGCAGAGACTATATGCGCGTGGCTATATGAGAGCATTTCGAGAGGGAGAGCGGACTTTCCCCACTCTCGGCCGTACCAGGGCATTTGGGGGCTGCAACTGATTGACTGGCCTAAGATTGAGCTCTTTATTCTCGAATTCCTTCAACCAAGCTAATATTAACACTAGCCTGCATACAAAGTGTATGGTTACAGTTCTTTTAGCCCTAGGACCTCTATTTAGTCACTATGTATTACATTTGAGGTACCCAATTCAGACCAAACGATGATGGGAATTGTGTGTATACTTTACTCCTTATTTATCAATTGTCATTATTTGAATGATGAACATGATTTCCAATTACGTCATTTTCATTGTCATCATTTGAAATAACTATGATTGCTTTTTTTTTTACCTCTGTTACTACCATTGTTTGTAAATAGATTTCCAGAGGATTAATTTATCGTTAAATTACAAACACAATCTCATGCTAAATCATTGTACGAATACAATGACGTTTGTTCACAGCAGATAAGATCCGTTTATTGTAACTTTCTTGCTTTCCTTATTGATCTGAATCCTTAAATTTTGATTTATTGTGTGGGAAATTGTAAAATAAAATTTTTAAGGATTTATTTCTGAAAGGGCAGATCCCTATTCTTTCGTCCTTTGTAAAAAGTTGACTCTATTACTTGAAAAAATGCACATATTTGTATGTAGCATGCTTCATGCCTTTCGGTGCTCATAGATGAAATAAAGTACTTCATATTTGAAAAGGAAGTAAAAACAATTCAGCAAAGAAAATTTTTCTTTCAATGATATTTACGGGAAATGCACGATTAGTTGTATTTATAGTGATTTAATAAATAAATCTGGGATTGGAACCAAGAACTTTCGGTCTTACAAGCGAGCTCTTAATCTCTAAACCACTGGGATGGCATCGAACTGTATTAGTGTAGGTCCAACTTCAATCACTTCACGATATTGCACAACGCTCATCCATTGCCCCTAGCGGATAACTGCCTTACACCCGACAGAAATGAAACCCACTGGTTACGGCTTCTCACTAGAACTCCATGAGTCGCATTTTGAATCTAGTCACTAGTGAGCAAATGGTTATCATTAGTCTAAGAAGATTTATGGAGATTTTAGAATTTCCACACTGCTGAGGAGTCCCATACCAGAACGAAACATCTATTCAGTGCTTCCAGGTTTTTAGTGATGGCCTAAATAAGATCAGTTCCTAATGTAAACTACTAAAAGTATATAGTAGCCTACTGAAAAATAGAAGAGATTACATCGTCAAGTGTTCAGGTAAAAGTGGTTGGATACTGGTCTGAAGGGTAATTTGTGAATCAGGAGTTCAAGACGTAACCTATTTTCTACTTGGTGAATGCAAAAACATGAGGCCCAAAATCTGTGTAAACACTTGTTCAATCTTTCTCGTAGTCTGTTTCTATGTCTTTTTAATCAGCCGTTACTACCCTCTTTCAAGTTTCCATATTTTTTATTCAGTTGTTGTGATCATCGCATTTTACATTTCTTTATATCTATTAAATGGGAATTTATCATTACTTAAACCATCTCGCAAACACCTTGTGATACTTGAAGTTTCATAACACTGCGATGTAATTTCTTATTTTTTAATCGACTACTATGTATGTTTTCATATCTTACTTCGTAGACGCATCTCAGTCAGACAATCCTTAGAAGCCAAAAAGTACTGAACAGCCGTTTCATTCTAGTACAGGGCTCATTAGTGCACAGCTATGGCCCCACCATAGTCAGGCTCAGGACCATCTATCTATTTGCGAGCGTTTAAGCTCTACACCAGTACTTCTTGGTTTGGAGTGGTTGTCTAACTACAATCCAGTTCGTGATGTAAACTATAGAAATGCAAACGATTATTCAGCTTCAGTAAACGATCTGGTTGAAAAGCATATTTTCTACTCTGAATTGTTTTTATTTCTTCAATAACACAATGGATGAACGCTTGTGTGTGTGTGTGTGTAACCATTTTACAATTGTATCTCCCAATCATAATTTTTTTTGCTTGAAATCAATCCATTAGCATCGAATTATTATTATTAATCGTTTGCTTCCTACAACTACCCCTGAATATCAGCATTAATTCCTTACTTATCCTCCTGTAATCATCTTTGTTTTATGCGTTATTATATTTTTAACAGAGTTCACAACTCATTGGGTATTATTATCATTAATCAAAGTTTCTATTATTATCCTGGAGTATTCAAAATTGATTAGTTCTCTATAAATTTCATACTAATAAATTGTTTATTTGTGAGCGGGTATTATGTTTAAGTTTCTAACTGCAACATACATTTTTAAACTTGTTAACGAAGAACAATTTTTCGATTTTTTTGGTCGGTACTATTTCACTATGAATTAATGTATTTAGTGGAAAAAAATTGCAATCCATGAAGTGTTATACAGTTATTTTGTTATTTTTTAAATTTTCCTCCAGTTCCTGAGATTCTAAATTTATCATAACCTTTTTTTCTTTTTCGCTAATTTATATACTCTGGGATTTACCTGACGAATTCATCTCTCTGTGCTGACGAAGTATGACAAAATGAACCAATTTACATACATACCAGCTTCTAGGTTACGACTGACTGACTCGTTCTAGTAATTAGACTCTTCCGTAATCCGTTTTTCATTTCTCAATAACATATTAACTGACATTAGTGTGTAACCAAAACGATTCGTAAATTGTATCAAATTCTCTAAAAACCAGCTAGCTGAACAACTGAGGTCTTCCTTTTGTTATATTACTGAAGAAGCTTTGATTTTGCACATAAGAATGTGGACTAATCACATGAAGTCAGTCACTCAAAATTTTGTTATCAATACGACACAATTGCACAGTGAGAAAAGAAAATATTAGTTTATAATACAAAATAGTTTTTCACATGCATAATGATATATCTGTCTCATTGGGTGAGCAGTCATGGGGTGCTTTTCAAGGGACATATAAAAATCCAAATTGAGATTTATCCACTTGGCTTTCAGTCGTATTGTTTGTTCAAAGGATTACTGATCCTGTCCGGTTACCCGTCTCAAAGTGGGTAGATGTGGCTCGAAACTCTTACGCTATTGGTTTATAATCAACTTGTGTAATCATTGATTCACTCCTCAACTAATCAAAAATACACTAATGTATGACTACATTTTTAAATTTACTCCTGTAACAATGAAAATACTTATGCGTCTTACTAAATAAATGTAACTATCAATAATTTCAACACCTTGAAATTTCTCTCAATTACCTTATTTTTGCTACCTCATTATCAGGTCGATATGAAGATGACTTTGTTGATGAACGTCGTAAATGGTTACAACAATGGTTAACTCGCATGTGTAAACATCCGGTTGTATCGCATAGTTCAGTATTTATTCACTTTCTTACTTGCACTGATTTCAAGGTAAATCATTGTGCGTTATATATATAAACATTAGATATTATTTATTTTTCAAAATTATAGACTAGTTTATTTATAAGTAGTAAAGGTTTGAATCATTCCGTTATTTCATATTCACGACTCAGTCTTTTGATCAGTTTTGTCTGAACTATATGTTTCCTGTGCAGATCGCCTTGATATACCTATTATTCACAATTTTTGTTTAGCATAGGTGAAATGTGACTAAGCAGTGAGATCCATGGTGTGCTTCTCATCTTAGATTTGTCAGCTTGTGTTGATGTACATAATGTATTCGTTTTATTATTATTTAGAAATAAGTGTATGGTATATGTCATAATTTAGTGATATTTATTTTTATATTACCGTTTTATTGAGTTGAATATTCATTGGTTATAGGCACTTGAATTTTCAACCGACTAGGTTCCAAGCTCAAACTCTGCTCTCTATTTACTTCTGTCTAAATGATAGCTTTACATACACACAAATAGTGTGTCTTTCCGAAAAAAAAAATAAGTTGATTCAAAACTGCTCTGCGTTGACAACTGAATTAAGGATAGGAAGTGAGTTAGTTGAGTGTCTCGACCATTTGACTTTCCTCAAAAGCCTCATTCACTATGCTGGATTAGCATCTAACGATGTCTTTAAAACCATTCGGAAAGCTCTCCCGACTTTTTTCAGCGTGCGTTACTGTTGCATATGCCAGATATCTATCTACCAATCAAAGGGCGAGTACCACATAGTGTTGCTTCTTGTGCTACTCCGTAATCTGTCTTGGGATGATTTTATCTGCACTAGTCGTATAGCAACTTGAACTGATGCGCCTGAATCAGGTTCTGCATTGCATGTGACCAATTACCCAAATCAAGGATGGGGTCCCCTCATAGGAGGGATCACGTCAGTGCTTTAAACTTCAATGTCCTATTCCATAAGTCGTGGAGCAATTTTATTAACCACGAAATTGGATTCGTATCTTCTTCCTTCTTTTGTTAATGTGTTAAGACTAGCACGAAACCTAGTTCCGTAAATTTTATTGATTGTCATTAATCGCCTAGCATTAAACATAATACACACGATGTTGAGTCACTTAGAGTAGTGGCCACATTGCTTCAACTTGATTGGTAAAATCTGATCAGAACATAAGACTAAACAAACTACATTGCTTACCGCTCACTAGTTAATAGTTAATGGATGTAAATGTTAATCATATCCAGTAAAATGAAACTGCAAAGGTTACATGGTACACCTTACCTACTAAAGCGTTTGAAAATTGCCCCGAAATCTTAAACTTTACTACGATAAAAAATTCACCTAGTAGTGTAATACACGTATGTAGCCAACATGATCAGTCACTCACGATCAGCTTAGGGTATGGCACAAATATGCATTAGTCCAAGTTGCTATATCACATTAGCACAACAGGTTGAAATTAACAAGGAGGAATTAAAATAATTCATCAATGATTATAAAAAAGACTGAAGGTCGAGTGTTTTTATAAAGGAATACTGGAACTAAAGATCTAGAATAAGACAGAAAGTGTATGCACCTGGTCTATTATGAGCGGTTCTGAGTCATGTTACATAACATCTCTGGATATAAGTTGCGGTTATCGTGCATATCCCCCACCAGGTGGTCTAGATTTGCTAACATGGCATAGATCAACGGTGGATGATTTCACAAAATAATGTCACCGTCTGGTTTCTTCCAATCTACCTGTATACCAGTCAACATCGTCCGTCGAGATAAGTAGCGCTTAGGTTTACATAACACATTTCCTAACCATTTTAGTCTAATTCATTAATAAAATTTGTGTATTGACGGGATGCATATTGGTAAATTATTATATGTAGTTTTCGTTTATCATTTTGTTGTATAACCTCATCTCATTTATTGTGTTTCCTTTAAAAATCTAGAAGTGGAAATTAGGCAAACGTGAAGCAGAAACTGATAAATTACAAGGTGTACGTTTTTATTTTGCAGTGGAATCAAGATGTGGACAAACACCTCATGACTATACGTGAGTTTTCATTCTGTTCGGAAGATCCCATTTTACCCAGTTTTGGTAATCTCAGTGTCAATTCTTACATGTAACGATAACCGCTATTGCTTTTTACGGATTGAGATTTCCTCACGACCCTCTTCCTGTTCTGATTAGCTGTCGTTACTTTTAGTTCGCTAATGTTTCGTGCCTAAAGTTCGTGTTTTTGCTACTGCATATACAGGGCTGTTCGGTTTCAGTTTCTCTTTGTCAAATATCAAGTTTCGTTTGTAACCCTCCCTTCCTCGGTCCAGCGTTAAGAATTATTATTTCAGTATATGTAGTATATAAGTCGCCTTAAAGTCATGTTCGCAATAGATTCCTTTCGTGTTGAGGTAATCTCAATCGTTTCTGTAAATTCATAATCACTGTAAGCCCATTTATAATTGTTTGTTGAGTATTCACATACTTTCTTTTTGTAATAATGAGTCCAATGCAAAGTGACGATATTTAGAAATGAATTTACTAATCCCAGTATGATAATGATGACTTTTCATATTACTGAATGGTAGTATATGTATTATACGGTTTAGCTCAGTTCTTTCTTGTGTTTATAAAGCTATTTTGTTGTCTCAGTTTCCAGTTTGAATAATCTATTGTATGAGGGAGTGACTTGGATGCCTAGAAGCTAGTTAACCTAGCATATTCCTTTTTTGTTATAACCAAACATTTTTACGGGGTGCTTGCAACATTAAAGTTAATTCCTTTTTCTCTTCTCAACATTATCTCCTAGTTTTATTCTCTAAAACCTATTCTGGTTCTAATGCAGTAGTAACTGTATTCGTCCGAAACTTGCTGCTTAACTGTATGTATTTGTTACTGTTATCAACTTTTGAAATCCTTACCGAAATAAATTTCTGAGTAACAAAGGTTTCAGCATTTAAAGTCAAATATCTTTTACACGGGTTGAAATCATGAGTCAGTTGAAGCTAGACCACCATTGAAAACCTGGAAGCACTGGACGGCCGTTTCGTCCTGGTATCTTTTTCTAAGATACACATAAGATCCAAGTGTGCTAATACTTCCAAAGATGGTACAAGTTCTATACATTATAGCGTTTTAATGTTTGTGTATCCAGTAGCCAGTTCTCAATGACAGGCAATGTGGGGATAACACCAAGTTCACATTTGTAAAGCTCAATAATTAACTGAATCCCACTTTTCATCCCATCTTCAGATAAACTTACGTGAACTACACCCTAGTTATATTCCAAGCTGTGAAATCAACATCCAATTAACTTGAGTAAATCTTTGTGGTTAAATTTCTTTCTTAATCGTTGAGTCATTCATACTTCCCATGAAAACGCATGCATGGTTAGGAATTACTGCCATATAATCGGATTCTCTAAGCTGAATGGTTTAATTACGAAAATTTTGTTGTCGTTTCGGATTGACAAGTTTTCTAACTGAATGCTTGAATCAGTTTACTGAGCTTTTCTAATCACTCCAGGCTTAATCTACACGACAACTTGAACGCGTGAGGAAAGTCGCTAAATGTGAAAAGAACGCTTTACGCTAAGATTAGTTTATATACAGGAAATCGGGGGTATTTATAGTATTTCAGGTAGCCTTGGGCTTCTGAAAGTGTCTACAACCATACTAAACAGTAACAGGATAGGTATTCATCCATTCAGAAATGTGACACGTGACCCTTCACTCTGTAGATCTCTCTCAGAAACTTCTGTTCAACGCTGATTCTATGAAATGTTTTCCGGCGTTTTCAGGGTCCTCTTTTGGACTTTTCGAGGAATGCTTTGAATCCCCCAACACTTTTAGAAAAGTAGAACTTCCTCCTTGAGTCTACTTGCTGCATCCTATCTCCCACGAAACTGCTTTCATTATGGTTCGATAACAGCAAGATGATTCTCTCAGACAACCAGCATTTACTGGCATGCCGTCTTGCCAAAATAGAAGGAGAGAGGTAAAATAGGTCGGTTCTACAAATACCACATCTCACTTTGCCCTATAGGTTTCCATCACCAGCAGTAGGGCCCAACTTTCAAATCACCGTATATGACCGATGTTGTAATGCTCCTAGGTCGTCAAGACTTAGGTTTTTTCATGTGGTTTAAAAACAATTATCTTCTCATCATTAGGACAGGCTCGAATTGACAATCACCCCTATACTTTTAACATCTTTGGAGACCAAATTGTTCAATTTACCATCTTTTTCTCATTATAATATTCTCCTTTTTCTTATTCATCAATCTTGTTTTTTTGCTGTATTATGAAAATTCAGGGTTGAAAAAGCAGAAACAGCTGAGCGATTCTTAGCTGATTTGGATAGATCAACTAAATTTCTATGTGAGACAGTTGTTGAATATCATCGAAAATTAAGTATTAGTAAGCTGTTGTTTTCGTTGTATTGATGTGTTCTAAGAATTTATATTCATTTTATTTTTTTATTTTATCAAGAGCGCTGTTTATTAAACTAGTGTTTTCTCCAATTTTGAATACATTTTAAGAGTTTACTAATGAGTTTTTACTACAAACTAACATCGGTATGTAAGAAAAGTTAGATTCCACTAAATTTAGGACTTTTCAACAATGTCCACACGTCGATGGTCACTTTTAAGTCAACTGACAAAAGTACTTATTGTAAAACATATCTATTATCTGTTATTGTCTCCTTTATTGGTTGCTTAGTTGCTTCCCTCTACTGCCTGGCACTATAATCTGCATTGTAAGACTTTGTTTCATATTCCGTTTAGAATAAGTCCAACCGATTTTTTCAATGTCATATCTTCTACTCTTGTACACCTTCAACACAACGCTTCATTCGACTCTTCCCAAATCAAAGCGAAACTTGAAATGGAATAGTGAAAATTCTAGTAATCCCGAACAACAGAGTTTGTAAAGGTTATGCATGAGAATCTAACATCTTGATCCGTCCATCGGCGTTGATCGATTTCAAAATCTGTCAATCAACTTATGCCACTTTGAACCTGACAAGAATGTGGCAATTTCAGCATTATCCAGCTAACAGTCAGGAGGTGACGAACTTCATATTGTAGTTGCAATCTTACCATATTTCGTATTCATTATGCAGAATATGTACTTTCTACTTCGAATTGTTTATTCCAAAAAATATTATAAATTCGTGCTTTAATTACATTTTATCACATAATACTTTTTTTACGTAAATAATATTGACTCTTTTCATGATAAATTCAAAAACCTCTCGTATTGCCCACTTGACCACATCATTTGATTATTTAAGTCCGCTGATGACCCATTCGTTGTATGCCTATCTGGCCAATGACTTCTTTGACCAATAATACAAATGACCGTAAATAGTGACGGTAAAACCATAACTTATTAGTTCAGTTGCTTTTACACCAGTTACACGATCACAATGGACTACAAATTAGTAATCAAAATATTATGTATAACTAAGTCATATGTGCTACAAAACTGTTATGGGTTCATAATTAATTAACGATAATTTAGAAATCGTGGAATAACAGTTATTATGAATGGATTGTTTAAAGTGCACAATAAAAATATGTATAACATTTTACTGTTAGACAGTTCCAAAGGTTTCGTTTCCCCCATTTCTACTCTCTCCAGTCTCCAACCAATCATTCATTTTTGATTGTATCCACCAAAATATACGATAATGACATTTTTTTGTCTTATCTATGGGTTGTTTCGTTTCTTGTGTTACATTCTCTGAACAAACATTATTTTACTTTTTGTGTATACAGATTATTTGTGTCATCCTTCATATTTGTTCATTAGATCTTTTATCCCCGTCTTCTCTCTCTGTGTGTATAGGTATTCGTAAAGAATTTTCCAAACTGTCAATGGCTTTTCTTAACATGAGCAAAGCTATTGAATCGGATGTTCATACAAGTACGATTGTTAGTAATGAGCATGAAAATTTAATTACCCATTTTGCTTATTTTTTATTCCATTTATTGTTATTGTCATCGTTATAGCATAATGATCAATTAGAGAAGAAACTGTGCAATATTGTTTCTTCGATTACACTTGTCATCAGAGCTGCTCAGTCATATTGTGCTCATTAATATAAGCAAAAAAGGATGAGAATATCTATACTTCACAAATTCTTGACAATGACCCTTGTATTATTTATTCAAAATATTTCCCTGTAGGTCATTTGTATACATTCGTTGATAACAACTTGAGTGATATCGGCAATAAAGACACTCACTTTAAATTCTGAGAATTCCAGTCCAATATTTGACAAATACAATTCACATCTCCATTAACTGGATGATGAACTGAAAAGTCAGTGCCTACAAAACGTTTATTTTATTAGTCAGTGACAAGAAATGTATTGTGTTAGAGGAATTTTATGTTCTCTCTTAATCCTACCGAAATTTAACATAAGTATTATTTTCAAAGATACAAACTCTTGATTCACCATTTTTACTAATAACACACTGTTTAATAATTTTAAATGGAGCCTCCTTAAGTTTTAAAATATGTCGCATGACGTTTTCACAATTTCTTAATTAACTCACTAGTGTTTACACTGTAATTTCAGTATTAAATTATTGTCATCATCGTAATATATTAGTTAGTACTTCAATGGTTAAACATGTACTAACTTATCCTTTTAGTCACTTTTCCGCACTCGACTAAAACTTTGAGTTTTATATGTCTTTTGTATATAAACTTTATTTGAATTTGAAAATTAGACAAGATAAATGGATTAACTACTCGAAGAATTGCATCATTTATGAGTAGAATGACACTGGGTCTTTATTTAAAAGCCCAATTTTATATTCGTCAAGTGTTGTAGATTGTTTCCAACTAATTGGTCGTATATTTCTGTATATGTAGCAAGTGATCCATATTATTGATTGGTTGAACAACTCTTAAATAATGCTATAAACTATTAATTGACTGACGTAAAATCTAAGCTGTTTGATTTATCATGCTTTTGTTTTGATGATTCAATTAAAATATTTTTTTACTATTTGGCAGACAATGAAATCCAAGACTCACGTAACTGTCCTATTTGTAATTTGTTACGACTGGATGTATTTGTATCCCTGAGATTTGAACCTAATACCTTTTTTTGCTTCAAACACGAAAGCAGTATTCATTAAATTTATGTAACCACTAAATTGTACAAGCTCTTGCTAATCAATTGAAATAGTTTTATTAACATATTCACATGCAGAGAAAACACTTTATTTCCATTTCAGAACAATTAAATACAAAATTATGCGCCTCACTAGCTGCTACTGGCAATACATTCAGAAATGTATCATGTATCCATGCAATCCAGGTAAATAAGCTACTATTTTTTCATTCCTATTGAAAACGTTTTGCCGACATTAGTCTGATCTGTAGATTGTAGTCGTTTCAATCTGACCTCAGGTTACAATTGAAAATTTGGAAGTACTCAACAGCCATTTCGTCCTAGTACATGGGAATCTCTAACAATATCTATGCATAATCTAATCAGGGATCAAACCAAGGACCTTCAGGTGTTTTGTCAAACACTGAATCATTAGAACCACCAGTTCAGCGTTTGATCGTACAATTCCGACTTTAATCAATTTGTGATACAAATCCATGATCATCTAATCATATTATTATATATTTGAATATCAATAAAGCGTTCGTTTGCAAAGTTCGTAGTCTACTTTTGTTCTGGATAACTGGATAACATCTTACTAGCTCACATAGACAGTACATGAAAGACCTGTAGTTGCGAAAAGGAAAAACAAAATATACGCTATGATTTAAGTTATAAAGATGACAAGTTTTTTCGACATCACTCATTCAAAATTGTCTTTATGAGTGAAGTTGATAGGAATTATACAAATAAATCCTTAAGTAAAAAGCATATATACTGTACACATTGATGTTATTAGTATAGAATAAAAATGAAAGCTACGTACTATTGTTACTTATTGACGCCGTATAAAATAGTCACTCTCAAAATCAGTTTCATAAGAGAAATATGGTATAGAACCCAGTTAAAGGATTGTATAGTTTGAGCAATGAACAGTAACCAATCGCACTATGTTAAAAATACTCAGATTATATGTAGAGAACAAGTAAAATGAGCCAGGTGATTGATAAGGCTATAAGTTGTAACGTACTAAGAAAAATGTGTCAGTATAGGCGAATTAATCAAACCACAAAGTGTGTGACTGTTGTGTGAACTTACAATTCACACAATAGTCGTAGTGATGAGAGACGTTGGGTAACATAGAGTGAAATCTATTGCAATGACACACTGATTCATTTTCTATCTTTCATCTTTGAATTCAGTGTCATTCTAAACTTTCCATCCTAAGATATCATTTATTCATTTCTAATTGGATTTCTCATGTCTAGATTTGCATTTGATTTTAAATCAATTACTCCCCTTTGATTCTCATCTTGTTAATTTTCTGTCTCCGTGTACCTACTAGCGTTGCGATTCGAACCGACAACCACTCATGTCAAACCGAGGGTTGATTACTGCTGGATAGTTTTATACAGTACACACTTGCTCTACCAAAATGTACATAGCTTATTGCATGTTGTACTTTGTTGGATGGTTAGAGGTAGTTGACAATAAATACCTCAGTACTACAGGAGGTGCAGCTGCATGACGTAAGTTCGAACCCCATTGGAAGCATCAGATCCCTCAATATTATACATACGCTATAACTGACGAGTGCCATCTAGTACGACACTCGGATTAAACAGGGTTTTCTTGTCGACCATCTTTAACTACTTAACACTAAAACATAGTGTACGTAATTTTGAGTCAATTAGACTAATAGCATTGTAACTGTATTGATTGAGTTCAATAAGTACTAGGGATTAGATAAACGTGATATAAGTCACTTACTGCTCAGTGGATATTGGTCAGTTAATTGTAAATATTCAACTTTTTTGGTTTATTTCCAGTCAGAAGCAACAATCAATCTTCAAGAATGCTTAAAGGAATTCACTCGTCTACTGCCAAATACATCGACTATTATCAGTTTAGCTAAAGCTGCATGTCTTACTGTTGATGAATTAAATCGTTGTAATACCGATGAACAAAAAGTGTGTCAATCCGATGTGAATCGAATTCAATCTGGTGCATTGTTGATTACACGTTCTGTTCAATCTGAATGTAATTTAATTATGAGTCAAATTCGTGATGAATGGATGAATAAAATCAAAGACTATCTTTATGATCAAGCACGTTTTTATCATCAAATTGCGGAACAAATAGAACGGGCTGCTCAATCTTTTGAAATCGACTGATCTCTGTTTGTCTATCATATAATATATATGTATCCGCGTATTAACACTCATAATACTAATATTAATATTGTTACTGCTATAAACATTTACAGATTCATCAACCATATATATATATATATATATATATATATATATATATATATATATATATATATATATATATATATACTATTTACACTTCTCAACTGTTACTTACCTCCCCACACTACTCTTAATCATATTTTGTTTTCGTATTTCAATAATTACCTATCACGGGGCATTATTAATTCATCCCTTTTTGTTTGTACAATTTTCCGAAGTCTTTCCTTCCTTTCTTTATCATCATTTCTTACTATTCATGCTACTTACTAGTCGTGTGTGATAATTTAGTATTAAGTTTCTTTCTTACTTTTGAATTGTTTTCTTGGTTAAATTTTTTTTCTATTTGGTGATTTTTTTTGGAAATAATTTTTAACGGACAATTATAGTGATTGATTTATTATTTTTTCTAAAATGAATTGTAATATTTCATTATACATACTTCTTGTGATTCCAATGTCTTCCATTTCAAATTGATATTACAACATAGATACTAATGTTCTCACTCATTTTGATTCTCTTTTAGCTTTTTAATTAGTATCATTTGACAAATATGTATTATACTTTATAATATTAATTGAACTTGGAACTATTTGTCTATCTATATGACCCATGCACACAGATAGGAATATCTGACGATTGTTTTTAGTCTAATTTTTTTTAATGTGTGACTGATCTATTGCTCAAAATATGTATTTTTAAAAGCTAAAAGAATTCTACAAAGATATGACTTGTGTATCCTTCCTTCTTTCCATGTGTTTACTATTCAAGTTACTTACTTACCCCTGTTACTCCCAGTGGAGCTTAGGCTGCCGACCAGCATTCTCCAACCCACTTTGTCTAGGGCCTTCCTTTCTAGTTCTATCCAATTGTTGTTCATTCTTCTCATATCTATCTCCATCTCTCAGCGTAATGTGTTCTTTGGTCTTCCTCTCCTCCTTTGGCATTGAAGATTTCAAGTGACGGCTTGTCTTGTGACGCAGTTGGGTGCTTTCCTCAATGTGTGTCCTATCCACTTCCAGCGCCTTTTCCTGATTTCTTCCTCCGCTGGGAAAAGGTTTGTTGTCTCCCCCAATAAGTTGTTGCTGATGGATCTGAAGTATTTTGCGTAGACAACTGTTAATAAACACTTGTATCTTCTGGATGATGGCTTTCGTAGTTCTCCAGGTTCCCGCCCCATACAGTAGAACTGTCTTGACATTTGTATGGAAAATCCTGACTTTGGTGTTGGTTGACAGTTGTTTTGAGTTCCAGATGTCCAGTTGTAAATACACTGCTTTCGCTTTACCGATCCGCACCTTCATATCTGAATCAGATCCACCATGTTCATCAATGATCCTGCCCAAACATGTAAAGGTTTTTACATCTTCCAAAGCTTCTCCGTCAAGTGTGATTGGATTGGTGCATGCTGTGTTGTATCGGAGAATCTTGCCTTTCCCTTTATATATGTTGAGACTTACTGCTGTTGAGGCTGCTGCTACACTGGTCGTTTCCTCCTGCATCTGTTGTTGCGATTGCGAAAGGAGGGCGAGATCATCTGCGAAGTCTAGATAGTCCAGCTGCATCTTAGATGTCCATTGCATCCCGTGCTTCCCTTCAGACGTTGACGTCTTCATGATCCAGGAGAAATAGAAAGGGTGTATTGAGAGAAGAGTGATGCTCCTGTAGTTATCACAGTTGCTGAGATCGCCTTTGTTTGGTATTTTGACCAGAAGTACTTCCTTCCAGTATGTTGGTACTTCTTCCTCATCCCAAATCTTATTGAAGAATGTGGAGTGTCCTTGCAGTTACCGCTACGTCTGCTTTCAGTGCCCCTACTGGAATATTGTCTAGTCCTGCTGCTTTGCGACTCTTGATTTGTCTGATAGCCATGGCGGAGTTATTCAAGTTACTGGTTTCATTTTATAACATTGATAATTATCCACTTGACATTGTTTTACTTGAATTTTCCCATTGATGTTTTTGGACTGAAATTGATCAGTCTCTTATTGGCATATGTGCATACTGTGCGTATGCCTCGATATTGCCTAAATTTACAAGCATTATAAGCAAAGATGGATAGTGGCTAGCAGTGGAATCCAGGACGAAACGCGCGTCCAAAAACATCAATGGGAAAATTCAAGTAAAACAATGTCAAGTGAATTCAACTTCAACCCATTGCACAAGCAAGTGGCTATCAGGACTCAGTAGCTAAGTGGATAACGCGATGGCGTTTGAAACGAACGGTACTGAGTTCGAGTCCCAGAGTGAACATCAACTCTGAGATGCAGGTACATCCAGCTGACGAGTCCCAAACAGGACGAAACGCGCGTCCTGGATTCCACTGCTAGCCACTATCCATCTTTGCTTATAATTGATAATTATCGTAAGCTTTTATTCTCCTAGTGTAGAGAATGGTGTAATTTCGCGCCTTAATAGGCTATATTTACCGAGTTTTATAGTATATTCACTTGATATTGCGTAGCGTTTTTATTCACCTACCAATTTCCTTCTTCATAATTAATTAACTATCTAAATGGGTTTTCTCTTGGTTATGTCTATGAATAATCTTTAGAATTATAAAGATAATTTAAGTGGGTGTGCTCTGTAATAATGTTTTAATTCAATCTAAGCAACGGTTTAACCTCTTTTTGTGTTTTTGTGTAGTCTGAGCCAGATGATTTCATCGCGAGGCTTTCGTGCGCATTCTGTAGAAGTGAACTTTCTAGTTATTTTACAAGCGTAAAGTTAGTTTGTTCATGTGCTGCTGTTTATGGTTGCTTGTCTTCGTAGGTTTTTTGTTTTGATTTCTCCTTATACTTAAGTTAACATGAATGATCCCATTGCCATGCTTCTAGAAGTTTTTTAAAATCCCGAAAATTCCCTCGTTTCCTAATTACGTTTTCTCAGTTGAATGCATGTCCGTGATTGTCTGTATGCATTGTTATCAGTTATAATATATCATGATTTACTGAACGTGTGTTCATATTTGCGCACATAAAGCGGGCGTCTGACTTGTCATTCGAATGCTGTGTGCTAGTCAACTCCATTAATTTTATACTTGTGTCTATAGTATTCTTTAGAAGACAAGCGGTGGTAACAAGAAATTGTTTGCAAATTCTGGCTAGTTTTACAAACATTTCTCACTGGTACATGTAGACAGTCTTCTATTTGGATTAGTTTAGTCCTTTTGTTTGATTCCCACTAGTAGTCAAGATGAGTTTAGAGCTTCAAGTTGTATTGTTTTAGTGACGTTCCTATTCAGTGTAATTGCCCATCTAATATAGCTTAAGAATAGCAATTATTTCTTCCGAGAAATGGTATTGTTAAGATATCACAAGATTATCCAATCTGCTGAGGAGAATTCATTCAGATAATACTTCAGAGTACGTCATGATTATTACTTTAACCTTTTTGTTTAGTTTACCATTTTTCATCATTTTACCCAATAAAATTATCAATACACTATTACGCACATATCGATTAATAATTCTTAAGGACAAATTTGTTTCAGTCACGCTAATATTTCAACAACAATCTGTTGATTAATGTATTCCAATGTCTCAGGCGAAATGTTTTCGGAAAGAGGGATTTTTTGAGTAGATGACACGATACCACCGTGTCCAAAACATCACAAACGAATAAGCAGTAGTTGATGGGTCATTGGAAAATAAGGATTTCTGGACAGAAGGTATCGTTGGCTATCCCAACATCAAATGTTGACTTCACAAGTCTTGTGGTAAAGTAAATAGATTGATTGACATATTACACTTGCTTCAGTTATATTATAATACTATTATGGAAGTCGTCTATGTCGAATATTAAGCATTTTCCCACATTAAAGAACTGAAGTACACTATAAATGGCCATTCTCTTTGATGCCTTTTTAGTTATCAGTAGTTTCGGGTGAACCTGTAAAATATACCAAGGTGAACTGAATGCTGGTGAATGGATTTAATGTTCTGAACGATGTGATCAATTATAAGGTTACTTGGAATACAATCAATATTTCAATTAGCACGATTTTGTATAAACAATATCGTGCTATTTATATAGTATACATTCTGGAAAGTTTTATCTTATTACAACATAAACATGTATGAATACATGCCAGACCAGTTTTGTTTTAATTTATGTTGTGCATAATAGGCAACACAAAATATAACCATATGTTGTGCGTACAATGAGAAAACCCACATTAAATCACCTAATTTACTATTCAGATTAAAAACGTTATCTTAAATAGAGCAAGAAAAAAGATTGGTGCTCTATTTAAGATAATAAAGGGAACTATTTGTATAAAAACGTTATTTTGATTTCAGAATAAATTTGACATGAAGACGATTTTCAGTTTATTACTATAAGAATTTACAGCTAACACAAAATAACTTTGTATAACTTTTGCGAAATAATACATCGCTTATATAGTGGCAAAGCTTCTGAGTTGATGAGTACATCTTTACTCAGTTGTCATGACCTTGATTCATAGGTTACAATTCAAAGGCAACAAGTCGGTTGATATAGTTGTGAATCTCCAACGACTTGTGTAGTTAAGATGTGTTACGCATACTTGACTGCTTCATACCTTAATGGGCCGGTGTAGGAAGAAGCTGAAAAAGAGTAGGGGTGGCGGCATTAGTCCATAATGTCACTAATAGTTGAGGTGAACTATGTTGGCAGGTTCAGATTATCACCTAATTGGGGTTCGCGTGACCAAAGGTTGGATTAATAATCCTATATTTTAATGCAGCCAAGAGTTCTCTTCAAGAGCGAAAAATTGTTTCTAAATTTCAATAAAATAACTTGTGTCTTATCAACGATCAAACGAACTGAGACTTATTTCAACCACAAGAGTATCAGTCTTCAAAGATATTCAACAACTATGGAATAGAAAATAAGTGGGACAATAACGTAATTGAAGTATCTTTTGTAGGCCTTACGTACATTACAACTAGGCACGTAGTAAACACGAAGTATTGATTCACAAAAAAATGAAGGACGCCAAAGTGATATAAAAGTTGGTTTTATTTTACAGAAGACATTACGTAAAACTAAATCGGCAGACCTTGTTTAGATTGCTCTTAGGATATCAGATTGTCTCGATATTCGAGGGAAGCAAGAGGAAATAATTCTCACATGCTTTAGTCCTAGGATTATTTAAAAAACCTAAATAAACACAGGAAAACACCAACTACATATTCAAATAGCTTTTGCGAAAGAAACATTACTGTTTTCGATAACTTAATGCTAAACTGGGATGGTGGCTCAGTAGTAAAGCCATTTGACTTTCAGTCACTTATTCAATTTGTGCCCCAGCTAATTCGGTTTAATCAACCAGATAGTAGTGTCGTTCGAAGTCATACGTAAATCTGTGCTTTGAAGTGAGATTGAATTCAGATTATCAGTGTTTATAATATAAGATAAAAATCTGACAAATATGTTCTAGTGCCGTGAAACTTGACAAAAGCACGAAACATGAGTGTCAGCTAGTTATTATACTATATCGTAAGCCAGTAATAACTTCTATTGGTATGAACTTAGCTCAGCTTTATGCTATAAACGTTTTGACTAGGTTCTCATCGCTTATACATTATGCATTTCACTCTTCATTCATTTAAGTATTACGTTTTCTCAGGTACCTATAGTAAACGGATATATATATATATATATATATATATATATATATATATATATATATATATATATCATAAGCTGGAAGAAACTTAACTATGAACATTCACTAACAACAAATAGTCTGGTTTCCATAAAGAAACCACCTGTTGTAATATGAAATTGGTTATTATAATAGCAGATTACGAACGATCCTATGAATATTGAACGTCATCTATGAGTGTTGGGGACGTTAGATCACCAGAACTCACTTGGAAAAGGTCCTAATTTTTTAAATTTTATTTTGAATTTACTCGTTTACGCGCCAAAAGCGCTCTCTTCACCTTCATGTCGTATTTCCCACTTGGGAGAATCTTAAACGCTATTGGTCCGTTGTCTTTCAGTATGCTATTTTCTAACGGTTTTGTGCTGTATATGTATGTTTTGATTCGTGTCTGTTGTTATCGCTCGTGCTTCTGGCTTTTTGAGGAATATACTTCGCCCTTCTCTCTCTAGTTAGCGGGGCTGGGACGCAACAGAATAGCTAGTTTATTGGTCTTTGGTCACAAGTCTTTGTTCCGTTCGCAGACTAACTGAACTCGTAGTCGCTTCAACATAGCAGAGAGATGGTTGACACACCGGACGACTGAGATACGCAACACATTGTAATAGTAATTTCCTGTACGATTGTTAGAGATGTCTGTTATAACAGAGGGTGTCCGAGATCTGGTGATACACATGCTATTCGCTACCCCCCCAATTGACACGAATAAATACTCATTTGTATATATAAATGTCTACCCTGATAAAATCAATCCATTTCTTAGCCAACGCCATGCACTTGCTTATCAGGACATTTCGGGTCGGCATCAAATGACCTCAGCTGGTTACTTCTGATTGGTTCGTCACATCAACCTTGTAAAGAAATTAAATTACATTCAAGTAAAATCCGGTTTTACATCAATTAGATGCAACGATTAATACTTACAACACATATCAAAGTGAGCAATTGTCTCTTGAGAACAAAATCATAGTGTGGACTAATTACTACAATGAAGATGGATTCAAAAACAAACTTCTTACTGTTTGAAATGCTTTGGATTATAACATTATCGGTACTTTGACTGAAATTTGATCAGTCTTGGTTGACAATGATAGACATCTTGTACGGGCTGTCTCGATATAGCCATTATTACAAAAGTTGATATAGAATTGATGGAATGTGGTTAGCATTGGAATCCAGAACGGGTGTTAACATCCCAGACTAATCAAATTTCAGCCAAAAATATCAGTAGTGGGATAACACAAGCTATATTAAATCTCATACCCTTTGCACAATTGAAAGGCTATTTAAACTGAGAATTTAAGCGGATAACGCGATGGCGTTTGAAGCGAACGGCAATGGGTTGGAGTATCTGAGTGAACATTAATCACTGGATGCAGACACATCCAGCCGACAAGAGCCGAATAGGACTAAATTGGCATCGTGGACCCCATTGCTAGCCAACTTCCATCTATTCTATGTTAAATTCATGTTGAAAAAATCTAAACAAATGAAAACACTGAAAGTCAATGAACGAGCATCACCCTAAACCAGTATGAGGACTTCGAGATTCTACCCGAAATGTAGTATTCGGAGACGTAGCATACCTTATACTACTTTCGAAGAATCGTTGATTTCAATAACCACATGAAATGTAAACAAAGTACATATTTCTGAAGGTTTGCATCACGAACTGACCTAGGTTAGATAATCAGTGAAAACCAAGAAGTAATGCACAGCTGCTTCGTTCTAATATGGAACTCCTCTGTAGTGCCCATTTACGACTCCACCAGATATCGAATTTAAAGCACTCAGGTCCCGCAGAGAGTGTACATTCTTCAGATCACTGAAATGATATACAATGGTTTATGTACCTTATTTTAATCAATCAGAAATATTACGCAACTATCTCTTAGTGTCGTTGCTAAGTGACAGTGCCTTACAGCAGACATAACTGGATTACATTAGTCCCGGTTTCCTATTAAAATTCTTGAAGTTATCTCTTGAAATCAGTTACCAATTTGTAGAGATTGTCAAATGTTATAATGCACATCAAGGTTCTTAGATATTCGACTGTAAGTGAAGCTTGTTAATGTAAGTCTACTGTATTCCCTTAGATCAATCAGGCTTGGAAAAATCGAATTAAATGAAAAGCAGACTTTAAACCTATGACTTAATCATTAAAATTCATGTGATTTAAGCATAACTAAGGTTGGTAAGCTATGAAATATATAATTGGAGTGAAGCAATCATTACAACTACATACCAAAACCATATTAATAGATAGTACGATCTACCCGGAGCAATGAAAAGAAAAAATACATTATCATATTTCCAAATTTTATATATATTTATGGAAAACAACTGAAGTACACACAAAAAATGCTTAAAATATGAAGCGATGAGAAGCATAAAAATGAGATACTCTAAGTAGTAGTAAATGCACAAGTACATATACACACATATATAAATGCATTGTATTGACGAAATAATGAAAATAATATAATAGTTAAAAAGTATACAAAAAGAGAAATATAAAGTGACTACAGATTTACTAAATGTTAACACCATCTTTAGCAACTTTCAATTTAATCATATCGATAACATCTTTCACTGATCGTCCTGGATCTTTTAATCGAAGATGAACAATGGACCAGTTTAATTTTTCTATCCAACATGGTGCTAATTCTAATAACACGTCTAAGTGTTCACTGATAGCATCTACGCGTAGAAAGGAAAAATCATAAAAGATAGAATCAAGAAAGTGATTAATGAGGAAAAGATGCACGATCATCTTTTAACTCATAAGCACCTGAGTCTTTAAGAACAAAATATGTAAAGTTTATTAAGAATTCAGTTAACTTATGAGTATACGGAAGAACCTGAAACATGATAACATTTACGTTATTTCTGTAAAATAAATGGACTGTGAATAGCACTTGAATCCACAAGTCAAGCGTTTCGTCATAGCTGGATGTATCTGCCTTTCAGTGCTGATATTCACAGTGAAACTTGAACTCTAGTATCTTTCGTTTCAAACACTCAATGTTCAATTTATCTACTGGAGCTACACTCCAGATGGCTATTAACTATTCAAAGAACATGATATTTACATTATTATTACCATTTGTTTACTTATTTAAACACATAAACATTAGTACAAGGAGGCAACAAACAAATCATTTGATTTGTGTGAGGCCTGGGATACACAGCGGAAACCCAAACTGAAGTAGGTGGTTTCTTGCGAGGTCATTCCTTGAGCCATTGGCCTAGAGGTATAATTCACAAGGTAATGGAGCAACGTCAGGAGATGCAGCTCCAGAGTAGTCGGTGACCAATAATAGGCTCATACGCCATTTGTTCCCTCAAGATCCTAGGGCCCATGTGCACGATTGGTTTAGAATCAGAGTGGATCCTCGATATTGACCAACCAGGTTAAAGTGCCGGATATTCGCTTTCTTCCTCTCGATTTCGTAAACAACACCACCGCGAGAAGGCAGTGAGTAGGATTTCCTTGGCATTGGCTGTATATATGTGGCCATGTGAGAGCATTTCGAGAGGGGTTTTGACTCCCGACTGTCGGCCGTAACAGGGTTTATTATTTGTTGGCATATATGTGGATCCTGTGCGAATCGCATTGATATTCCCATTCTGTTAAAAGTTTTATCGAATGGCTATCGGTGGGATCCAGGACGAGCATTTGCTCTTATATGGGACTCGTCAGTTAGAGGTACCTAGGCTGCAGTGTTGGTTTTTATGTTTCTTTGTCTTACAAGCACTAAACGCATAGTGTGCTCAAGTAAGTGTATTTATAAACCTTATCCACTTAACAGTTACTAACTTTATACAATTAAACTAATTTTAAATAAGTTTTTGTCGAGATTCAATTGAATAGTTCCACAAATATTAAGGTGACTAGTAGTAAATGGAAGAATATAAAATCAGATTTTATTTTTAAAAATCTAAGTGGTGAAAGTGAAATACAGTGTGAACATTATGTTTGAATTTCTAACTAGAGTTTCGAATGAAATAGAAAAAAATTATCAGAGAATCCTGTGCTTATTTCCATAAAGAACCTGAAACCAAACTCCTGGACAAAATGTCAGAACTATTTGACTGTATAATCACTAATTCTTTAACAAAATTATATTGTTGAAATATAACTATTCCCAGTGACTATTTATAATAGTGCAATAAAACTAGAAAAGTAACATATCATTATCAGTAAGGGTCTGAAGTATCCTGTTTAAATTCAGGACCAAGTTTCGACTGGTCTTTCTTGACATATGTATTTAAGTTTCCTCGATATATCCATCTTGGGATAGGTTTCTAGAATAGATGGATTGTAGCTAACAGTGGTATCTAAGACGTGCATTCCGTCCCATATGGAATTCTTCATAGCTGGATATACTTGCAGTCCAGTGTCGATATTCAAACTGGGACCCGAAGCCCGTATGAGAAAGTAATAGATTTCAGGATAACTGGACCAACAGATAATTAACTTCTCACCAACATCTAGCAATAAAAATTGGAAAGAGATATCCTTACCAGTTCTTCATTCTTATAGTTTGATACACAAGATGAAGGATCAAGTGCTTGCCATAATTTTTTATCAAAATGAGAATGGAAATCCGAAACATGACAGCATCTAATGGTGTAAATGTTTGCTTCAATTTCATTTTCGTAACAAATTAAAAAACTGGAATGATCTTGTTTTTTAATATTACCATCGAAAGGAGACTGATTATGTGCATAGGCTTATTTTCTAGATTTCATTAATGACGCTGTGAACTCCAATCAAATTAGATGGCTTAGACATGTGTTATAAATACCCAGATACCAAATACTTTGACATGAGAGCCTAGTTGGTGTACGCTGAAAGCTAAGGATGGATGAATCAACCAGTTCATGAACCTACGAACCGCCATGACGAAAAATTATTTTCTATCTTTAATTGTTTTTACCTTTATCGATATAGAATTGTATTATAATTATACTACTTGTGAGTAACAAATATTTATTATTTTCTCTTCTTTACGATTGGTTAGATTGACTATTGGTAAACTAACTCTTCTCTTATTAGTTAACATGTTGAATGTATTTTTCTGCGCTTGATTGCCTTGAGAATAGATTGTAGTTGTTGTGTTCATCATCTTGATTAAAACTAATCATTATTTATTGTACAACCACCTATTATTTATTTACTTTTATATATAAATATTTACAAGAAGTCAAGACAGTATTTTGACTTTAATCGACCTCGAGTGGAATATTACAATGAAGTTATCAATCGATACAGGTATTATTCCAACTCCTATTTATCTTGTTAACTTCATCTTGATAAGCTGTTATGGAATAGCAACTTGGACATTTGTGCTAAGTCTTACACTTTATGAAAAACTGAGTCAATATCCTTATTAGCGAAACTTTTTACGCAAGATGATTGGGTTAAGAAATTCCAGTGCATTGTTTAGGAATTAGATATTTATGAAGATTACATGTCTTATGTCAGCCCGTCTGTAGGGTCTATCTTTAATCAAGTTGAATAAAGCATCATGTTTTACTGGAAATTTAGGTAAAATGTGAACAGTATAAAAACAAGTCTACATATATTCATACCACTTTATAGGTTGAACTAAAATAAATTGCACTCCGATAAAATATTACCTCTCTCTCTCTCACAAAAAAATCAATAATTCTGGTAAATCTTTCTACATTTAGAATATAACAACACTGATAGAATATGAGAATAACAATGAACGAAAGGATTCGCAGCATTAGCAAGATATTCCCTTAACTTGATAGCCTAACTGCTAAATGTATAATTCGAGGTTATTATGAATTTTGACTAGTAGTGGGAAGTGACTAACACATTGTATCTCGGTTGCACTTACCTGCAGAAAGTCCGCTAGGATGAGAGTCTGCCACACGAACAGCGACAGTTGACAGTGGAAGTGGACGGGCATTGCATGGACGTAAAATACTCCAAACCTGAGTTATTATTAGGGGTAAACGACAGTAAATAGCTCGTCTGGCCTCTGAAACTTTCCCATAAGTAAGCTCAGTAAGAAGACGTCGCTCATTTTCCCGAGCACGCACCTTAGGAAAAAAACACAAAGCCATGAATGATACATTTTTTATATTAACACGTTCCGTAAATTATACCTCAAAATTAAACTCACGAGTCCGAAAAAAAAACTGAAAAGTCAAATGATATCTTTGTTTAATGATAAGCACAGTGAAATGCCAGCATATATATAGTGATGAATCCTTCGATCTATAAAAAAAGCACACATAAAAGCCAATGTAACAAGTTTTAGTAATAGACGATATGCGGCTAACAGTGGGATTTAGGACGTGTCTATTGTCTAATTTGAAACTTATCAGCTGGATTTACTTGCGTTCCGTTGTTGATAGTCACACTGAGACTCGAATCCAGTAAATTTCGCTTCAGGCGTCCAACAAATCAATTGCAGTCACGAATATCAGCAGTAAAAGTCGTAAATAGTTAGGTAAATGTGTTAAAGAATCTTCGAAATGAAGAAAGATGAATTTGAAGCCATGATCCAAAAGTAAGTAGTGGTTGAATGTACTGCTAACGAAACCACAGATTCACTCATGGAAATAATGAAGAAAATATAATAAATTAGATATATTTAGACAGAACAAGAACAAGGTTTGCATAATAAATGAATTCATTAGTCTATTTCACAATTTCTCAGCTGCATACAACCAAAAATTATAATTATTAATATTAAAAAATTATTAACTAAAGTTTAGCGTACTTTAATGTAGCCCGGTGAGTAGTAAACATTTAGACCATTTAACCCATGTTTAGTGGCTTACACACCCAAATATTTATTTATTTATTTGAACACATAAATATTGGTACAAGAGGGCACCGAATATATATGAGCCACACAAAATAATCGGAATTTGAAGAGGAAAAGGAAAAAAGGTAAGGAGCGTTAAAAAAAGCAATAACGAACAGATTAAGGTAAGGTAGCGTAATAATAATAATAGGGGGAACGGAAAGGTATAACCAGAAGAAATCTTTCAGTTAAGGAAGATACGACCACTTCTTATGAAGAAAGTAAAGGAAGGTTACATCAGGATTGCCACTGGCTTCTATTCTGAGTCATATCTGATAACGTCTCTAGCCACTGTGTCGCACAATCTCTCGGACCTCAACCAGGGAGTCGTGAAGGACCAACACAAGCCAGCCCTTAGCAGCTCTCTTCCATACCCCGACACCATGTCATACACTAACCACCTCTCCGCTTTTTCCAACTAGTCCCAGAGTCGGCAAATAATGCACAACGTGGAATTCTCTGGAAACATATTCGTAGAACATGTCCAAGCCACCGAAGTCGGTGTTTCAAGATGTTGACACCAATTCGATTATCGTCTCTGTGCCCGAACACACACAAAGAGTTCCAGATGTTTTTTAGTTGTAGATATGCTGCTGTTGCTTTCTGTTATGTTCGTTATGCTTGAATGCTACTACTGATTCGTCTTACTCGAACGGAACGAAGGATCAATTATTCAGAAACTCGATAGCTATTCTGGTTCGCTATCCCCGGTTCTGCTAACTCGATCAAGAAGTCTGGGTAAGGTGTAAAAAGTGTATTCTACAGACAAACACCAGATAACAAGTCAAGTCAAGCACACAAATCAAGCGTATTTATACAAATATTTACAATCGATATTGTCATGGAAAATTTTTAAACATTAATCAATGAGTTCATCAATTGACCGCTATTTAACATTTAATCGATAGTTCATCAATTGACCTATTTGCACATTTAATCGATAGGTTCATCAATTGACTGCCATTCAAACATTTAATCGATAAGTTCATCAATTGACCCCAATACAAATATTTAAACATTTAATCGATAAGTTGATCGATAAGATAAAATCAAAAAATATGAGTTTTGGGGATCTATCGTCCCCAACACTTTGCTGATCCGCACCTTCATATCTGAATCAGATCCACCATGTTCATCAATGATGCTGCCCAAACATGTAAAGGTTTTTGCATCTTCCAAAGCTTCTCCGTCAAGTGTGATTCGGTTGGTGCATGCTTCGTTGTATCGGAGAATCTTGCCTTTCCCTTTATATATGTTGAGACTTACTGCTGTTGAGGCTGCTGCTACACTGGTCGTCTTCTCCTCCATTTGTTGTTGCGTGTGCGATAGAAGAGCCAGATCATCTACGATTAGCCAATCACTTATTAATTTAAATACTTTTACATCACCTCCGAATTATTACTTTCCAGAGCATAAATACACATATATCTTTATTATGTTTATTCATATACTCGGTATCCCTTTTCTTATTGCAATGATTTTGGTTACGTTTTGACAACTGTTACTCTTCGTGGTGGAGCATAGGCCGCCTACCCACATTCTCCATCCAACTCTGTCCTGGGCAGTCTTTTCCAGTTGCTAGTCATCCTTTTCATGTCTGTTTCCAATTCTCGACACAGTGTGTTCTTTGGCCTTCCTCTTTAGGATTAAGTTCGGACTTGTCTTGTGATGCAGTTTGGTGATTTCCACAATCTATGTCCTATCTGACGTTTTGAACAGTTATCTAAACTTTACAGACTAAAGTTTGTCAAACACTTGTTAATAATTATATTTATATTAATTATTGTAACTCTTGGGTTGCATGCAGCTGATGAGAATCCGTGAAATAATTTGGTGGATTCACTCTATCCTGCGAATCTTGTTGCTCTTGCGCTGTTCAAATTTGTTAAGGGATATGGTTGTATGGAATTAGATATAGGACAAAGCCCATATTTCCAAATTACTTGATTATGGCAATATTGATGCTCATCTTTACCATTATTACTATTAGTAGTAGAAGTACTACTACTACTAGAAGTATATTTGTTAGGAATTTTAGTCATCAGTCAGTGGTCTTGAGTGCTGTTACGGAATTTATTCTCAACTTCAAGGAAACTAGTATCCTTTTCTATAGAACTGTGTTGAAAATTAAAGAAATCATCACGAATAAGTGTTGACAGATATTTAGTCGAGGTTGTAAAACATCCTGATGATTATTAAAAATCGTATGACTTTTTGAAATGGTGTACACCATGCGCTCAACTGTGAAATCATAAAAGAAAACAATTAAAAATATCGCTGACATTGTAACAAAAAAAGAGAAATCTAATCATTTCTAAGGACCAACTAACTTTCAAATGCCTTCACTCAGTTAAAATGATGTACTCAAACAAACAGATCACAGATATGAGGATGGTAACTCAACTGACTAGATAAACAAATGTAAACCACATATAGATACTGATATCACTCACTTTATTGAGAAGTGCTAGAGATATACCCTTTAAATTATTCGGTGTAGAAGTAATCATTCTATCGTTAGACTCTTTAGAATCTGTTTGCGTACCCACAAGATTGCTTGCTGTATATGCTGTGCTATCAATAATATTGGATACTTTCAGTGGCGATGCTGCTACAGACTTCTTTGGACTTGGTATAGGAGATAGTTGTTGCTTGGACAGAGATATTTGATGACACGTATCGGCTTCACGAAACAGAGCACGAGCTTGAAATGCTTTGACAGCATCTTTTGCTGATGTAATCTTCTGCTCAAAATCTGATGGTCTAATAGGCAATGGTGATGAAACTATACATGCAACAGCAGATTCTAAAGGGAATTTCGGATGCCAACGACGAAGGGATGAATCTTCTGGAAGTTCAGATGGATCTATTCCAAGCTCCGAAGTTAAGAATACCTGAAAATGTCAAACGATTCACAATTCAGTGTAACTATAATGACCAAATGTTCTTGTTGTATAGAACATATGTTACTACCAAATGTATATTTAAGTATCTGGACAGATATACTCCGGAAATAAAAATCTTCCTACGTGTAACATCCTTTCAGCACAACCTCTGGAAACATGTAGCTAAATTGTTACTACATATAACGTTTTTTACTGGACATCAGCGTAGTAAGTGACATGGATAATGATTACTAATGATTGAATCAATAACAAATGTATTAATACAATAAATAATGGTGGGTTAAATCAGTGATCACAAAGTCATCATACATATACTGAAATAATGAGTTCCTGCTAACTACATAAAGTAGACCTAGGTCAAATTAAGCTCCATCACGAATGTTTGTTAATTAAACATTACTGATGTGTTGTTAGTGCGACCCGAGAAAAGCCGTCAGTCAAGACTAACTCTAGTACTAAAAGAGGTATGGAGGATGGTCGAAATTCTCAGTTATCTGCATTGTGGAATTATACTGCTTTCCGAGTAAACCGACACAGAAACTATTTTAGTAGTGGTCCTATTGATATAAGTGTGATTATCGAGTTACAAGGATATGTACTCCAGAACAATCAGTTACGGTTTTTGTGAAGTAATTTTTAATATATTAGCTTCGTACTTCTGAAAAATTGCCGCTAACACTGGAATTTTATAGAGCAGTAGAGGATAAGCTACTTTTAAGCTTAATCTTTCCTAACTTGCTTCTGTTGCGGAAATGGAGGATTGCCATGAGTATTGATTATTCGTAAGAAACGATACTGGTGTTACACCTCAACATAGTCGACAGGATAGCTTTACCTTCAAATCTCAATTCTGTTGTCTTTAGTCTGATCGCTTTGCAACCGCAATGCCTAGAGTGGTAGAACTACAAAGAATAAATGTTTTAGTCAACAGACCTCGAACGGTTCAACACAAGAACCAAGTCTGACCATCACTATATGGTACAAGCTACAGGTGCAAGTCAGATAAGTAGCTGATCACATATTAAATACAAAGTTCTTTGGAATTAAACTGCTAAGCAAGCTATCATTAGGCTATAATACAACCAATATATATGTACAAATGAAAATAATTATAGTAAATTTAAGAAATCATAACTAACCCGATGTGATTTTAAAACTAGATTAATTAACAGAGAATGGAAACGATTTCGACGTTGAATTAACCGCGTCCCACTGAATGGTAGAAATCCTTTCGACGGAGAATCATGTCCAACTTTTGTTCCATCTGAAATGAGGAAAATTTCTTAATCAAAATCTAGAAACCAACACAATTTAAACCCGTCGTATACTAGTAAACAGTGAAACACAAATACCTTATGTAATACAAATAATAGATGGTAATTAGCTGTCTAAATTTGCAGCGACAGATACTGTAGCTAAAAGGATGTGTTGCATGTACTCAGATTTTAGTGAGCTTCAGTATTTATTTCAACTATGGTAAAAATCGATCACTTTAGTTGCTAGATATCTTAACAGTATGCTAAAAGCTGTGATAAAGAGTAGACTGTGCTTAAACTAAGCTGCAACGTCCCAATTAATAAGCACAAAAAATATGAGTCACTGGTATTAATTGTAATAAATCATTTATAATAATTCTTAAGAATCAGTTGAAATCGCATGTAGTTCACCACTGAGATAACAGTGGGTACCTTAAATGTAGATTAAAACATGAAAAAAATTTAGGGACTAGTAAATGAATAAAAACACCTAGATTTTCGATTAGAATCCTAATTTCATAACACCTAGCAGTATATAGTATTTTCACGATTGAATTCACGAATCCATCTCAACTAGAACACCGGTGAAAACTTGGGAGTATTGGACGGCCGTCTCGTCCGTGTTGTGCACCTCAGAAGTGCGCACCCACGGTCCCGCGCGCGGAATTCAAACCCGGGACCTTAACTTCTAGATCACTGAGCCGGCAATCTAACGGTGTTAAGAGTTAACTCCAATCAATCCATGATCTTGAAAAACCCTTCATCCATTGCCCGAGGTGGATATATCTCATAACCGTCCCGTGTGTGGGATCGTGGATGCGCACTGCCGATGAGTCTTATACAAGAACGAGACGGCCGTCCAATACTTTCAGATTTCCAATGGTGGTCTAACTTAGATCAACTCGTGATTTTAATCGTGAAATTAATAGAATCTCCCTAAATGCCTATACTAATAGCAGTCATGTGCTCACTAGTGACTAGCTTCACAACGTAACTCCTAGAGTTCTAATGAGAGGCCGTGACCAGTGGAGTCCAATCCGAATATACATATCAGAACTCACTAAAACACAATTATAAGTCACACATACAATTAATTATCTATACTAAAGTTCTGTCCAACGAATGAAGTTTTTTTGCTTTCAAAACCGGAAAGTAATATAATCCTGAAGATATTCATTCCACTAACCGTTAATGTTTTACCACTTAGTGAGGCCACATAGTTATTGAACACCAATGTAGGACTAAACCTGAAGTAGATGTACAAAACTTACTGAAGCCTCGATCCTCTATTACCTATAATGTTCGGACCTAAGTTGTAAGTCCCGAACACACGTCTTAAATCATATTTATGATAAAATAAATATCGCTGATGCCATAGAATGACGGTTGCGCAATATCACAGTTTGCTCGGGGTTAGAAATGTAAACCATTAGATGCTAATTAAAGGGTCTGAAAGTTAAGCATTTTCCGAAAGGCATCAAGGTCCTGGGTTTGATTACAGATGAGACAGTGGAAATGAATTGTTGAGTAGTCCCATTCTATGGAGAAACAGAGGTTAAGTGCTTCCTGGTTTCTAGTAATTCTTTAACTACAGCCAGTCAGCGGTGTGGGGCTTCAAAAGATAAAGTACTTAATTTTGTACACTATCATTACTGTAGTCATACCTACAAAACTATAATTTTAGATGTCATAAAAATGTAAGCAAACGTTGACTTCACTACTGAAAATATTTTGAACACATACCAGTACGTAAATTAGGTGATAAAACGAGTACGTAATTCCCATTTAATCGATGTGTGAATTTATCAAACTGCTTCTCATAGCGCAGAAAATAAACCATAGGATAGACAGTTAGAAATTGACCGATATGAGTTTCTTCAAAATTCCTAGATGACATACAAGGTAAGAAGATAAATAAAAAAATTTACATAAATTAGCAATACAGGGTGCTAATCACCATGGAAGGTAGAACCAAACAATAGCCAAATAAGTCAAATGGATTAAAATCCACATTTCATAATAACTAGCAGTCGAGAACACCAACTACGAAATCAAAACACCATTGTGAGAGAATTAACACAACTGCGAAAAAAATTAGTTTGAATCTACTCAAATAAGGAAAAAGATTCTAGAGCTAGAGTATAAATTACTGAGTTTACTCTCAGTTCCTCCCTTAGGAAATCGTTTTAAACTATTTGAACTGCTATTATTATTATTTGTTTCAACACATAAATATTGGTACAAGAGGGCACCAAATATGTAGGCGTCACACAAAACAATGAAAATGGGAAGACAAAACACGAAGGCAAGAAGCGTAAAAGAAAAAAAGAAGAGGAACAAGTACGACCAGATTAGTGTAAGGAAGTGTAATAATAATAATAGGGGGAACGGAAAGGTATAACCAGAAGAAATCTTTCAGTTAAGGAAGATACGACCACTTCTTATGAAGAAAGTAAAGGAAGGTTACATCAGGATTGCCACTGGCTTCTATTCTGAGTCATATCTGATAACGTCTCTAGCCACTGTGTCGCACAATCTCTCAGACCTCAACCAGGGAGTCGTGAAGGACCAACACAAGCCAGCCCTTAGCAGCTCTCTTCCATACCCCGACACCATGTCATACACTAACCACCTCTCCGCTTTTTCCAACTAGTCCCAGAGTCGGCAAATAATGCACAACGTGGAATTCTCTGGAAACATATTCGTAGAACATGTCCAAGCCACCGAAGTCGGTGTTTCAAGATGTTGACACCAATTCGATTATCGTCTCTGTGCCCGAACACACGATGCCGAACCTCTGCATTACTGACATGGTGTTGCCACTGTATGTCAGCAATCCTTCGGAGACAGCGGTGATCAAACACAGAGAGTCTTCTAACATCTTCAACTCGGAGAGGCCAGGTTTCACAAGCATAGAGCAGAACTGCCCTCACCAATGCGTTGTAGATCCGACCTTTTACAGCCAGACTGACATCACGAAGGCGCCAAAGATGGCCCAGATTGGCATAAGCCAATCTGACTCACTATACGTGCATTGATCTCATCACTCACGCCACCATCAGCACTTATGCAGCTACCTAGATACACGAACTTCTCGACTACTTCTATCTGCTCACCATCCAGGGTGAGTACAGGATTAGAATCCTGCCAGTCTTGTAGAATTACTTTGCACTTCGAAGGTGCAAAGCACATACCGTACCTACGGACACTGATTGCCAACTGATTAAGTGCAGATTGCATGGCTCGGGCTACCATCAATACCAATATGATTGCATTTGATGCAGCCACCGCTATCATATGTATTTAATACTATGGGAACAGAGTTATTACTACTGATGATTTCTAGTCATATTATGGAGAATAGCTGATCAACTTATAAGGATCAGTAACAGCACTTGAAACCTATTTTACTGTGTTCAAACTTTATATCGATCACAGCAAAAGGAATCAGCATACTACAAATCTAGGAATAAACAATATAGGACAACTATAATACTCTCCTCAATTGTAACTCTCTCTCCATTCTTGTTCAACTTTGTCATTGACGTACTTTTAGAGATAACACTCTCCTCATCTAAATTTCCAGGGGTTGAACTTCTACCGGGAGGTTCACTTGTTGACTTAGAATATGCTGATGACATAGTTTTATTTGGTGAAGACGCTGACAAAATCCAGTCTTCTGACCACTCTAAGCAACAATGCAAGCATGTTCGGGATGCGATCCTCCCGCTCGAAATGCAAAATGTTGCTTCAGGATTGGGTGGCAACGACACCCGAACTAATGATAGGGAGTGAAGTAGTTGAGTGTGTCGATCGCTTCACTTATCTTGGAAGTCTCATCAGCCCTTATGGTCTGATGTGTGACGAAATCTCAGCACGGATAAAGAAGGCTTGACTAGCTTTTACCAACTTGCGTCATTTATGGCGTAGGCGAGATATCCGTCTATCAACCAAAGGACGTGTTAACTGTGCAGCAGTTCGTTCCGTTCTACTTTATGGCAGTGAAACATGGCCGGTAAGAGTAGAGAATATTCGTAGGTTACTAGTATTTGATCATAGGTGACTTCGAAATATTGCTCGTATATCCTGGGACCGTCGAGTAAGTAATGCAGTTGTTAGGAAACGGGTACTAAGTAAGGATGGCAAATCAATTGATGACATAGTGAAACTTCATCAGTTGAGATGGCTGGGACACGTGTTACGTATGCCCAACCACCGACTGCCTCGACGTGCGATGTTCAGTGGTATAGGAGGAGGTTGGAAGAAAGCTAGGGGCGGCCAGACCAAAACATGGCACAAGTCCATGTAGTCACTGACAAGTGGTCTGAGCCATGTCGGTAGGTGTAGACTACCTGGTTGGGGACCGCGAGATGATAGCAACCGATGGTTAGAGACCCTGAATGACATGGCTCAAAATCGTTTGCAATGGCGCAGGTGCATACATTCTTTGTGTTCTCCCAAATTTTGATCTCCTTATTCCTCCTTGTCTCTTTTTTTTCTCTTCCCAAATTTATCTCACTGTATTATACTCTTTAAGTAACATCTCCAAACACTAATCTTCCCGATTACTGCTGATACTCTTATTACCTCTACCACCACGGGATTTGAATCGACCACTGTATTTCTGTGCTAATGTGGTGTGGTAACTCGAACTGATGTACGTACGTACGAAGTTCTATGTTGTTACTGACTGACTGACTGGCTGAACTCTCAATGACCATGTTATCGACTTAGAATGTAACTCACAGATCACAATACTTACTGAAAACCAATCCATGTACACGGTTCATGGGAGGAAATAACCACGAATTATTACAGAGAAATCTATTTAGTACATAGCTAAAAGTTGCACGTCACCTGTAGATACTAATTTTAAATCAATAAACCACATGCCTACGTCACTAAATTGTTGATTCATATACCCACACTACTAAAATCGATCAAGAGGAAGCAAAATATTACCTTAGAAACAAGGATCAACCACGCGAAACATGATAAATTAGAGAAAATGAGCAAAATGAACAAATGAAATAGTGATGCCTAAACGTAGCTCTAGTCACCTATTATCCAAAGAATTAGCGTGGCACAATATTTAAAAGTCTACTCATTGGGTTGCAAAAAGTTAAAAAATTAACAAATCACTTCAATAATAAGAAGCTCGACAATTACCGACTGAAAAATACTTAATCTACCTGCGCGTAATTTCTTGAACAGCTGGTTGGATTTTATCGAAACTGCAAAGTTCTTTTCTGTTGTGTAGCATGCTGACAACTGTATCACAACTTCGAAAAAGTTCCAACAAAACTTGTAAGTTGTGAGGAAGAAAAAGATCAGCAGGGACTGTTAAATCTGTTTGTGTTAAATCAAGATCCTTAGAAGATACAGAACTCTGGGTTTCAATAGAAGTTTCAGGTTCAGTCGATTGTGGCTTTAATGAAGAAACAGGTTCTGATAAGTGAGCGAAACGTTTAAAAGCGGGCAGCTTTGAACTATTTTCTTGTATTGAGTCTGATGACTGAGATGATTTTAGCTTGATCACTTTCTTCGGCTGTGTGCGTTTTTTCAGCTGTATGACGGTCTATAAAGGAGAACAAACAAAATGAACACGAAAATTCCTAGTTTTCAAATGATGGAGTAGCGTAAATACACAGAAAGTAAGTTATTGGTTTTTAAGAATTCAAACTTGACATCTTTAGTTGTTAGTCGCACTTTAATACACGGGTTGAAGAGAAGTTACTTGATAAACGAAATACGAACTCAGACCTCTCCATAGCACTGCTGGGTAGTGGGGGCAACTTCATTAGCTAACGGAAGGTCAGGAGATCGGACTATTCCACAACTATCGTAACCTGGGTTCTCAAAGATCCTGCCAGAAATCGTAAAGGACTGTCCTTTATATATATGGCACGCGCAGTGCTCAACCAGAAACAGCTAGTAAGACAGTTTGCGCTATGTCAAAAAAAGTCGTATAACCAAACAAAAAGTAGGTCAGTAAACGAGACAATAGACGGGTAGCAAATATAGGTGTAGGAAATGACCCCCTTCCCTCCCTTAAGAGGGTTAAATAATACAGGCATAGAGAATAGGAAATAAAATAGTACCTACTGATTTTGTCAACAACATAACATCTAGGATACTTGGTGAAAATAACAGGTCAAGTGATAATAACCGATGCGCAACAAAAAAAACTGAGTCTAGTGGTCGACTTTAAAGAAATTCTGTATTGTTTCATCAAGATAGCGACAAATAAACCACTAAACTAAGGTAACAACAAGGCTAAGTCAGCATACTAGTGAGTACGCTTATTCCAGAATGTGATACTAAGGATAAGCCTAACACACTTGATTAGAAAAACGATACACCTGACTGTTTTGATTAGTATATTTTAGAAGTCACTTGTACATGGAATAATTTTGCGTTCTCTTACTTCAGTAAGTTTTTTAATTACGTTTACCTATGTCTACTAAAAGCAAATTTCATACACATAGTTCCCTTTATCATTTTGAAAGCAGATTGTCGTTAAACACAACGATTATCAATTATGGAGCCCCCAAATGCCCTGGTATGGCCGAAATTGGGGTGGGCCCGCCCTCCCTCTCGAAATACTCTCACACGGCCACGCGTATGCAACCTCTGCCAGAGAAGTCCTACTCACTGCCTTCTCGCACCACGGGTGTTGTTTACGAAAATGAGAGGACGAAAAGCGAATGTCCGGCGCTTTAACCGGATTCCAAACCAATGGTGCACATGGGCTCCAGTATCCCGAGGGAACAAATGGTGTATGAACCAATCTTGGTCACCAGCTACCATGGGACTGCATCTCCTAACAATGCTCCACTGCCTTATGGATTAGACTTTTAGGTCAAAGGCTCGGGATGTGGCCCCCTAAGAAAACCACATGATTCGGTTTGGGCACCCGGGCAGTATCACAGCTCACACACAAACAGAATGAAATGACAATACTTAGGGAAAATACTACGCTTGCTTCGATTAACAGTCAAACGATTCACGTTATTATTATTATTATTATTATTATTATTATTTACTACGTCATTTACTCACTCTCTTTTATTCCCACTTTATGTATCCTTATTTTTCGACTTATACAGCAGATCGCCTAAGGTGGAAATTCGACTCAATCTAAACGTTCTCGAGTCACTGTCCGGTTGAAAATTGTATGCTACCACCAAATACGAATACTGAAGCAGTTTTTCTGAAACCACGTGCACTATTCAAACTGGCTGCCTTCAACGTTCGCACACTTATGCAGGTCGGACAACAGATAGGGCTGGCTATGTCTTTATACCCTCCTCACCTTTTTTTCTTTTTTCTTCTCTTCAAATTCTCATTGTTTTGTGTGGCGCATATATATTTGGTGCCCTCTTGTACCAATATGCATGTGTTCAAATAAATAAATAAATAATGTCTTTGGAAAGTCTTAATATCGATGTTTGTTGTCTATCCAAGAACCGTATTCAAGACTCTGGTGAAGTACTACAAATTCGCTCTCTATCTGTCGCTTCAAAAAGCTTTTTTTACGTGCGTTTATCCGGGGACCCTGTGGCATCTTCGTCTGTTCTTGCTGGCGTTGGTGTTGCACTAAGCGTTAGAGCTGAGGCAGCACTAATCGATTGGATCCCCATTAACAGTCGGTTATGTGCTGTTAGATTAGAAAGTTCCATCAAAGTGAGAAGAAATCGGCGTGAGAAACGATGTCTTTTCGTCATCAACTATCGAGCGATAAGTTTACTTCCGATTGCGTCCAAGCTACTGGCTTGTCATACTTCGTAGGTTGTTCAAAAGCCGAGAAATATTGACTCGCGAGGAGCAGACTGGTTTTCTTTCTGGTCGAGGATCTATCGATCATATCTCCACCCTCCGCCAAATGTTAGAACACCGTCATACTTATCAAAGGCCAACAATCGTAGTGTTTTTGACATCAGGGCTGCCTTCGATTCGTTGGACAGGACTGTTTTCTGGGATTGTCTATTGAAGAAGGGTGTGCCTGAGAAGTTTATTAACATCCTAAAGACCCTACATACAAACACTTCAAGCAGAATGAGGGTATACAACCACCTTACTCCATTGTTCCATTCAAGCATTGAGGTTAAGCAGGGTTGCCCGATCTCACTATCTCTCTTCAACTTTGCAATCGATGACATTCTGGAAACAGCTCTGATGGATGTAAGTGATGGTGGTGTGGATCTGTTGCCTGGGGAAAGACTTCTCGACCTTGACTATGCGGATAATATTGTTTTACTGTGCGATAATGACCAAGACATGCGATCCGAACTTAATCAGTTGGCAATCAGTGTCCGTAGGTACGGTATGTGCTTTGCACCTTCGAAGTGCAAAGTAATTCTACAAGACTGGCAGGATTCTAATCCTGTACTCACCCTGGATGGTGAGCAGATAGAAGTAGTCGAGAAGTTCGTGTATCTAGGTAGCTGCATAAGTGCTGATGGTGGCGTGAGTGATGAGATCAATGCACGTATAGTGAGTCAGATTGGCTTATGCCAATCTGGGCCATCTTTGGCGCCTTCGTGATGTCAGTCTGGCTGTAAAAGGTCGGATCTACAACGCATTGGTGAGGGCAGTTCTGCTCTATGCTTGTGAAACCTGGCCTCTCCGAGTTGAAGATGTTAGAAGACTCTCTGTGTTTGATCACCGCTGTCTCCGAAGGATTGCTGACATACAGTGGCAACACCATGTCAGTAATGCAGAGGTTCGGCATCGTGTGTTCGGGCACAGAGACGATAATCGAATTGGTGTCAACATCTTGAAACACCGACTTCGGTGGCTTGGACATGTTCTACGAATATGTTTCCAGAGAATTCCACGTTGTGCATTATTTGCCGACTCTGGGACTAGTTGGAAAAAGCGGAGAGGTGGTTAGTGTATGACATGGTGTCGGGGTATGGAAGAGAGCTGCTAAGGGCTGGCTTGTGTTGGTCCTTCACGACTCCCTGGTTGAGGTCTGAGAGATTGTGCGACACAGTGGCTAGAGACGTTATCAGATATGACTCAGAATAGAAGCCAGTGGCAATCCTGATGTAACCTTCCTTTACTTTCTTCATAAGAAGTGGTCGTATCTTCCTTAACTGAAAGATTTCTTCTGGTTATACCTTTCCGTTCCCCTATTATTATTATTACACTTCCTTACACTAATCTGGTCGTACTTGTTCCTCTTCTTTTTTTCTTTTACGCTTCTTGCCTTCGTGTTTTGTCTTCCCATTTTCATTGTTTTGTGTGACGCCTACATATTTGGTGCCCTCTTGTACCAATATTTATGTGTTGAAATAAATAAACAAATTATGGAAATGCAGGAAAAATATCCGATACATATAACAACATAATGAATAGGCTTAATCAGGTCTCTAAGTGGCATTATATGTTTTAGCAAGTCACTCACTAAGACCTGATTTACATTTAAAGATTACTACACTTTATTTACATCGTTTAAGTAATTGGAAGGCTGGTATCAATGACACTTTCAGATTGATTTTCATTAATTGGTAACAAAACTGGATGTAAGCTGAAGTGTTAGGACGTGATAATCACTTATTTGTTTATAGTACAGTTCACGACAATGTCGTCTTAATGTAATCACACTATACGACACAATCTTGGGTAAGAGAGCGCTTAATAACGATGATCAGTTAAAACTTGACAAACAATTTTATATACAAAAATCATTATTTTATGTTGACGCCCTGAAGCTAAAAGTTTGTAACTACTCATGAAAACGTCATTGAAACCAGTTTTAGCACTAAAAGTATTTACAAACCACCGCTACAAAACAATAAAATACGGTAAAACTTGCCTTTTCTTGAGGCGGAGGACAAAATAAGGAGCTGCTTGGGACTTCACTTTGTTCATCTAACTTTATGACAGTAGTTTTTATTGTTTCAGCCTCAGAAGCAGACTCTTGAGTAGGTTTGGTAAGGTGCGAAAAACGCTGATAAGCTGGTCGCTTTGATCTGGATAACTAATAACAATATATATAATCCGAAATCTCATAATCTACCTCTGTTTCAGGCGAGGTCTCAAGAACTGCTCTTTTGGCTCTTCCTACATTTTGAGGTGTCTTACTAACTCGGAAGAAATTATCAAGACGAGTATTTGGCATTCTCGAAATACCCGCTAACGTCCAGTATTACACGAAAGTCGTTTACGCGCACTATTCGCTAACGTTGATGAAAATTATTTTGTCCAATATACAATATCTCCATCATTAGCTTATTTTAAACTGGTTGACTTCCTTGATTTCGCTTTTTATCTTTTCGCCAAGATTTCAGGTATTTGAGTATGTTTGATAAGCAGTAGTCTAGTCACTCGATTGCACTTATTCAAGTTCGTTAGTTTTTTGTGAACTTGTATATCCTGTAGTTGATTGAGTGACCGAGTTTGTCTCACGTCGACGTGGCTTCTGGATACCGGTAGAAAATGCATTACAAGGTAGGATGTTGGTAGGTAACAATGTGGAAAACAATAAGGTGATAATTCGAGTGTTCAGAGAAGACCATTGTATCAAGAAATTGATAAATAATTTACTTAATTGGTAATATGTAAGAGGACAGATTTGATATTAAAAGACGTAGAAAGTAGTAACTGATATGACGTGCCGGTCACAGTAGTGATTAATGCCACGTGTATCGGAGCCGAGTGGTCCAAATTGCGGATAGCAACCCGTAGGTGAATATATGTTGTTTAAGTCTATTCTTTAAGCTATCCACTGAGGGGGCTGTTGTTACTTCAGGTGGGAGAACATTTTAAACAGGAGCAATGCTAAGTGAAAAAATTAGAGCTTACCTGAGAGTTGGCTCACTAATGTACAATCGTTCGAGTGTTGCGTCAAGGAGTCTGATGATGGTGTTCTGATAGTATGCTCGTGTTGGGGTGATTTAACGTACTTAATATGCTGTATGTTGTTGTTAGATTACCTCTTGTTCCCCATTTGCCTAAGGAGAATGATCTCAGGTGTTAAATTCTGCGCTCGTACGATTTATGTCCTAGACCTACTACACATTAGGTTGCCCCTCTCCGTACTTGGTCTAAGAATTTTATATTCCCTTATAAAGAGATGAGAAGCTGCGACATTGTGGGCTTCAAAGTGAAGACATGAGTATGCTTTGAACAGTGTTAGGAGCAACGTTGGGTTGCCTGCACTAAGTGTTTCTCTCATAAAATGGAGATTCACATTTACTTTGATCTGGTGTCTAAGTGCTGTGATTACAAGCCCGAGGTTAGGCTTTGAAGAGACGGGCGGGTTTGGGTTTCAGTTGGGAGTGTAAGCGTTCGCGTCGAATGAAATGGAATGCTCATGACTTGAAATTTTGGTCAGGTTAGGTTTTAACGGGTTGTTTGCTCTCCATTCTTTTCTTATTGTAAGGTGTTTTTGAACCTTAAGTCCATTCTGTTTTCTTTTCATGAGCCTGTGTATCTTTGCGTCGCTTGTAAAGACCAATGCCGATGAACTAATTTTGTCTAGTGGGTCGTTAGTAAAGACCAAGAGCAGGAATATACTTAGGATTGCCTCTCACGAGACTCGTGATGTTGAAACATTCCAACTCGTGTTCACTCTATCTTACTTAGGGCGAAACATCTTGTTCTCAAGGTAGCGCCAAGTTAGAAGCGATTGAGCAAAACCTATCTCTGAAACATAAGCTACGAAAAGTACATGAAGTACTGCATCAAAGGCTCTTGTAAGATGGAGGTTTGTTACATAAACCGGTGTCTTATGACCCTAGCAGGTCTTCTACTTTTTCTATGCTGTTCGCAGTTTGGATACACAGGACCTGCATTTACGGAACCCATGTAGGGATCCATGGACGATGTTGTTTTTACCCATATATCTCGTCATTTCATCGTCGACCAATCTTTCCATTACGTTCAAAAATATTGCGTGCAATGTGACTGGTCTTTTCTATCTCTCCCTTTGAGAATTGTAGAGAGAGTAATCTGCCTCTTTTCTCTTGGCAGTAGGCACAAATCTTGGGACTTCCTGAACTGGTCACACTGAAGTGTGCTAATGACTTCTGAGCATTGTTTTAGAAGTACAAATCAGATGTTTCCACGTTCGAGTGGCTTTCCTGAGTGAAAAGACTTTAGTCTATCTAGTACTGTCACGGAGTTAGCTGGATATCGCCTGAACCCTCAGCTGTTACTAGTGTGAAGAGATGTTCGGCGCTTTTGGGCTACCGGTTAAATTGGTATTAAGGATTTCTTCCGTCTGAAAGACAGTAAGATCTTCGCCCATTGAACCCTAACGAGTAGAGATCTTTCGGTTTGTGGACTTTCTTCTAATTATGGATACATATAGAAATTTGTGGTTAGCTCTCATTTTGGTTATTAGCTTGGTCTGAAAACATCTATCGTTGCGAACTTTCGTGTTGTGTATGTTTCGCATTGCAATTAAGAGTAGTGATCAGATTCCGTCAAGGATACCTTCCACTGGTCTTAGGCTTCCCATTAAACCTGTAGTAAGCCTACTGTACCTCGCCTAATTCAGAATCGTCATCTTGCAGATGTGTACTCACCCTGAGGTACATTGTGTTAGATAGCGCTCTAACTGATATTCCTCACTACCTCCGATTGATCACCAACTGTTAGCCTTCACCACTCTCGTAGCCATGAGGTATCTGTGGACTTCTGAGAGTTCGCATTTTTCGTAGTATGAATTTTAAAGCTCTCTAAAATGATAAATATGAAAGCTTTTTTCGTTTCCCGGAGACTTAGTTAAATAGCAGATTTCCAGCTAAAATTATGAGTGGTTTCAAGAGGATGGAGGGAAAATTGAGAACTAAGACTTAACAATATCTGTTGTCTATCGGTTAGTCAGATTAGGATCTGGACTGTTATAAAACTAAGGTTAGCACTGGGGCTTGTACCTGAGCAACAGATATCACTGACACAGTACGAAACCCTCGATAACTGGCTAGCGTTTGAATGTATTCCGAGATATTTAAATCAGTATTATGTCGCTGATTTTGCAACTGTTCACCAAAACAGAGTACTTATAGTATTTAATCCCAATAATAGGCTAATTAATGAGTTAAAATAACGTGGGGACAGAAAAATCATGAAAATAGTTGATGAAAAAGTTTAATGACATTCATTCCTATTTGTCTAGCCATAACAGTTTGGTGATGTCCCGGTGCCACTAATCCAAGACATCGTCCCTAAATGTAGCATTTATATTAGATGATTCCGTTTGTAAATATCAGTGGTATCAACTGGCTATATATCTGCGAGCCACTCCCTGTTTCCCAATTCCATTTGTAGAGATTTTACTTTGTTCATATCCATAGACGAAACATTTACGGAAAAATAACAAAGTTCTTCACCTGTTTCTGATTCTAAGCATGACGCTCTACTCCACAAATCATAAATATCTAGCAACTGACAAACCATTCTATGAACCAGAGGGAATTTGGGGTACTCTGGATGTTACTCTCCTCTTCTCTGATTACATCAGTAGGTCTACAAAATTGTGTTATGCACTCGATATAACATAGTTAATGCAGTGTAGAGTCTAAATACACTCTCTTAAGTTTGTATCTGTTTTTGAAGCCAGTCATCATTTTGCTGCAACTAATATCACAGTCGGCTAATTAATGACAGCTGTCGTTTTTTATTTATTAATGCATAAACTGACATATATGGTCTAATTAGCAGTAGTATTCAGATAATTTTAAACCACGGAAGCTGGACGAGAGGAGCCCAATAATACACCAAATTAACGAGTCTTCAATTCACATTATGCTAGTTAACTAACAATGAGAGAAATCATTTCTCATATATAAGAAATGTGATTCCTTCAGCATCTGATTAAGAAAATTCGTCAGCCCAAACATAAAAAGCCAGTGTATGATTGTTTACCGTAAATAACTTTCAAATTTATTCACCTATGCCATAAAGTTTGGATCTCTTAACTTTGTTAGATGAGATTATTAGTGCTAATAGCTTTACCATTCATATAACGTTTCCGCTGTTTTGGAATATATAGATTGTGATATTAGAGTCAACCTGGTTATCGTCAATAGTACATTGACCAGATCGGTTAATTACTGATTTTTCTGGTAAGTATTGAGCAAAACTGAACTAAAGAGTGCTACAAAATTTGGATGAGGTATGAAATTCTCTAAAGCAACGTCAGAATTCGACTAACAATAAATAACATGTTCAGAATCTTGACGACTGTAGTGATTGAGTACATTAATTTTCAGTACCATATTGAGTCCTCAGTCACGTATCATTTCCTATCATGTCCTGTTCTAAATTGGCTGACATTGTTCCGTCGATGCATATTCTCACAAATATTTTGACAACCACTGTTAGTCACCCAGTATATCGCTGGTACTTATTGACACGTTATATGTGAAGTTTATTAGGCATTCCATGACCATTGGCTCATGAATGAGCTGTCTACTTAAGCTTGCACCCAGATGGTACAGAATTTGACAACTGCAAGACAGAAGACATTCTTCCACCTATTATTTAGAATATAAGTCTGTTGGTGACTAAAATGGTTGTCTCTTACAAGTGGTGATGTGAAAGGATCTCTATTCATTTCCGTGATATTACATCTCTTCTCTAAAATAGGAACCTCAGAAGTTTGATAGCGTCCTACATGGGCGTCTATTATTTTACTATGAAAGTTTGTAGAACTATGGTCTACTATGATATTAGTACTGCTCTAATAATAGAACTTATCCTAAAATTGTAGATTTGTCATGATATAACTGCCTAATCTATAAGATCTTACATGGAAATCACATCATCGTCTACACCAACTCATTGTATTGTAACAACTACCAATACATGATGAAGAACTAGCTTAGGCTAGAGAAAGAATAATATATTTAATATGAATAAAAAATATAGGGTAATATTCAACAAGAACCACGCCTGCATGGCCGAGCCATGCCATTCGATCAATCCCAATTTATTCATTTCCTTATTCGCGCCTTCTTCATCGTTAAGTATTTCTCTGCATTAAATATTGAATATCTATTTTCCGGGTAATCTCGTATTCAGCTTTGAGGATTGTGTGGTTATGATCCAATGCCACTACAAGTTTGTATATTATGGCCCACATTTTATATAATTGGCTAACTCCTCCAGTTTGAGCTCTATGGCGTCCAGTAATAATACATCCTTACTCTTTGAGGAAAAGGTCGAAAATTCCTTCGCACTACATGTTAGACAGTGTATATCTTGGTGGGAAGAGATTCCTGATTCTGTTTCTTTATTGCTCAGCTTTTAGAATCCTCCACCCGTACAACCATTTGTTGAATGCACTATAGTTTTAAGACATTTCATTTCTGATTACGAATTATGATGGTGTAAATAATTGATTTGGGTAATCACCTGGGCAAGGAACAATGTTGCCCACTTAACTTTCAGAGATCTTCATGCTTCTAAGGTCCCCCAACAGGTGATACTATGTCACATTTTGGATGACGAAATAAAATTCCACCAAACAATTCACTTCCTGTGAAATACTAATCATTTTTGTTTCCGCGATTTTAAACGCATTTCAAGTTTTTCATATGGTGAGAGCCACGTATTTATCTGGATCATTGGATTTTTACTAGATCAACCGAGTGACAACCAGAAATTAGTTGCAAAGCTGCGTTTTTAATCTGCCTCCTTTTGGTCGATACTAATAAACACAGTTGGCATTTTATTTGTCAAATCGAGCTTCATTACTTTACTAGACGATTAACTTGCTTTACGATACTTTTTAACACATATATATTTCCACTTAGACTAGCCATATAAATTTCATATAAGCCACTACCAAGAGCGTTTGTTGCATAAGATATATAATTTCTTCCCTTTTCCCCTGATTTCTGACTTAAGGGACTTTGGGATCTTCGTAAGGGAAGTTTTGAAAAAAAACCGATAGGTCAGCTAACCTGCATCGGTGCCTGTAGTAAGTGTTTAATGTAATAGTTATTCAGACATACAACTGTAACTGATTTCTGTGTCCACTTATATTGTTTATTCAGAAATATTGTGTCTTTGCTAGGATAATTTCGCTGGACAATCTTGCACGGTAATACAATAATTAAACTACTTCTGTGCTTATCATTTGGAAATAACTGATCAAAACCTCCAAATTAACTACAATTGAACTAAAAATTAGCATCCATAAGATTTGTGAATTCGTATTTCAACCTTCACATCTAATCACTTAGTCAAGATTGATTCATATGGTAGATCGTTATTACAGATCAACTCAAGTGATGAAGGTTATTCTTCCGTAATAGATATGTGGGTATTTCTTTTATTGTATTCTCTTATTTAGGTCTGAAAATTACAGAAACTGTTAAATACTACATGAACTTTATTTACTGTTCTAGTGTGATTTTTGGCTTTCTCATTGGAGAGTCTGGAAACGTCCTACGCTAATCCTTTAAAAGCATTACAGATACGAACGTAATACCGAGAAAAATCGTCGTGAAACAATAATACGTTTTAGTTATTTTCTTTGTTCGAGGATATGGTAGAAATATTTATTAATAATCATCAAGTTTGAGACTTCCATATCAACTTCTATAAATATCAATAGTACTGCGATGTACCGAATATATCAGTTAAAAAATAATGATAAAGTTATTACAAAAAGGTAGAAACAATTGATAATATACTAAAATATAAATTGTGCATAAAGGGAAGTATGGGGCGTTACTTAAATTGTCAGAACAAGACATATTTGAGTTCTATTTTTGGTATCGCAACCCACAATTATAACTATTCAGCGATTCCAAATATGACTGATATAATACAAGATGTGTATCCAAAGCAATCACGTCATGAGGATATCAATTCATTCAGTATACGTAGACAGCAAATATACTAGTTATATTATCGCGACAACTGATACGTGAGGACCAGAAGTATGTGTGTGCAGCAGTATATTTGTGAGCGATAGTTGATGTGTTATATGATGAGAGTACAAAACGGGACTGGAAGATCAAGGTCACTGTCTTTAGATAACAATGTTACAGTTAATAATAGTAAATGTGCAGGTTATGTAAAACTAAAAATTGCAAGTGATAATGAAAAATAATTATAAAAATAATTTCGTGATGACTATCTCCACAATGTCTTACGAACTATAGTTAGTTAAGTCTAATTACGAAAATGAAATCAATAATCCAAAAGGCAGTCAAAGCAGAAGTGACGAATGAAGGAGTTCGAAAATATATCCGGAATGTGGTCGGTGAGTCGAGAAGAATATGATCAAAGTTGACTAGTTGATGGAAGAGATGAGCAGCCCAGAATATCTAATTGTGATCTGGTGAGAACGCTTGACCGAGCATCTTCAGCTAGGGTGTGTTTAATAAAACTATTTATGTTAACACAACTATCAAAGACTGTTATGAGTCTCCTAATGCGACCCAGCTACTCTTATTGCTTAGTATTCTTGCACGCTGCTTCACAAGTCTCCAAAACAGAATACGGTTGAAAAGGAATAGAATTATATTTCAAATAACCAAGGTTCAATAAAATTAGGAATCACACTAAGAAAAAAGTTAGTACATTTGTAATTTTCACAGAAAATTATTCTAAAGTCTTCTCCAAGTATCCGCCAGCACTGAATGGCTAAGAAATATCCAATCACGATGCCTCAACACAATCCTGCACAGGAACATGCTTCGATCAAATCTTTATCCTGCTAACAAAGAGTTACAAAACTGTTTATTTTGTGAATTCATTTACCGATATAAATGTTTTATTCGTTCGGATTTAAATTCGATCAGTAGTATTCTCATGCCCTTTTGTTTGCGAAGTGCGTCAGTAAATCGAATGGGCACGTTTTGACATATTGTACTTGATATCCCTTTATTCAGTTGGGATGAATTCGAAAGTGCTACTACACCACGTAATGGAAACATGTTTAATGTCGTTGGAGACCACTCACGTTCATTATGTTCATTTAGAAATCCATGTTATGAATGATTCAAGATGTAAGTACATGTTTGTAGTAGTCAAATGTAAATTTGATGGAAAGGGAAAACCATCGAGTAAAAGACTAGCGAAATTTTAATTACAAGTGACGGTTTAGATCAAAGTTCCTTAGTTTTCGATAAACGTTTTTGTGTTTTTTTCACAATTTGATTAATATGTTATTAAATCTATCAATATAATTCACAGTCATCCGTTTTCTGTTTCATGGATAGTTTTTGATCCCTGGAGCCGAAGAAATTCCTCACAAAATCTTACAGGATCTTCAAAGAGACTGACTTCTTAAGGTACTAACAGTAAATTAAGGATAGTCTGAATTTTCAACTTTCTAGATAACCAATTTGTAAAGTAAGTTAGAACTATTATCGACAACTGTTACAACGATATCTTCTTTAAGTGGATAAGAATTCATTTTTCCCAGAGTGCATTTACAGATACACTAAGAGTCAACTTTTTATGTTGATTTTTTTCCACTCTTTCCCCAATATTAGGTTATAGTTATGATTTCTCTATAGTTACAAGGTATAAGTACGCTACTCCTAGCAGCACTTTGTTTTGTTCATATCATAGTTGTAGCACTATGGAAAAATATGGTTGTATTTCTCTCAGTTGATGTCTTGTAACAATTGTCAATCGATTAGCGTTAACTCATTGGTCAGCCGTTCCATACTATAAACACCTATAATCTATTTTCTGTGGACATGTAAGCCAATGAAAGAATTTCATCAAAAGATTATCATGTAATTTATCTGATAATAGTAAAACCTACAGAAATTTATGATACTGTGGAAATCATTTATATACGAACAATGTATTATATATGATGCACATGTGATAGACTACTGAAAACAATTGTTATCAATCTGTACATCACTCACTTATATAGTTTTCTATATTTAGCAATCCATGAAGCTGTTCAGTATTCTATATTTTATTGACTAGTGCAAATAGTTTAGTTGTATAAGTAACCATCGATTACATCTTGAAATCTATCCGGATAGCTTATACTACTTTCATCATTGAAATTCTAAAAAAACATAGTGTTAAGAATAGGATAAAAATTTCTAGTTTTTTTAGGGTTCTATACTTAAATGACAAAACAATTAACGAAGTGTATGTTGCTCTGTTTATACACTTAATTTGTACGAAAAAATACACCTTTAATCGACACAATACTTTAACTTTCAGAAAAAAAGAGAGAAACAATTGAGTTTGGCCAAACTAAACATTGTATCAGTCAGCTACAACGTAAGACCAGAAGATATGTGCATCAGTCCAAGTTGCCATACCTCACTAGCACAACAAGATGAACACTGGATTCATAAAAGTAGTTAATTCAGTGGTGGTAATATATAAAAGAAAGATTGCGTATAAGGACATAGTACAGAAAGAAAGAATTAGTTCGTAGAAAGAAAGATATGGAGCGATTTTAATCTCATAGTTTAAGAGAAGACAAAAACTGTATACACTGATCGATTCTGAGCCATGTCACCAAGAGTCTCCAACTAGTGGTTACGGTAGTCACGCAGACAACAATCGAGTAGTCTGCATCTACCGACATGGCTCAGAACAGAAGTTAGTGACTTCAATGACTGGTGCCAAGTTTTTGTTGGGCCGCCCCTAACTTTCTTCCAACCATCCCCAACACTAGTCAGCATTGCGTGTAGTGGTAATCGGTGTTACTCACCTGATGATCCCAGCAGATGCGAGCAATATTCTTAAGACATCTGTGATCGAATACTAGTAGCTTACGAGTATCTTCCACTCTTAATGGCCACGTTTCACAGCCGTAAAGTAGAACAGAACGAACTGCCGCGCAGTATACTCGTCCCTTAATTGATAGATGGATATCTCGCCTTCGCTATAGGTGACTGTTATAACTTGTGATCCTGTGTGCCCTGTATATTGGATAACGCAACGATACCGCCAATCATAGAGCAGCGAATTATCGACCGAACCAGTGACGCGTAAAACACGTGCGAGAAGCCTAGAGTTCTGATTGGTCTCGCTCCCAGCCATTCAAGTCCAGAACACCAGTCTCAGCCTCTGCAATATGAATCATTTATTATAAACATACTCGGTTTATATATCAACCAGACAGACCACAACGTACCATAAAATATGAAATAACATTTGTACAATATTTAGCCAAAAGTGGTTGTGAATGAGGTAGATAGTAATTGATAGACAGGCCATAACTCAAGAATGGTAAATCGTATAATAATAGTTCATAGGTCAAAATAAAACTCATAATGAGAGGGACATGAATATGAACAATTTAGTTACATAACAATTACACGATAAAAATATACTCATAGCATCGGTCCATAAATGGATCCCAAGAATTGCCATTTATTATTCTTATCGGGATATAACAGTGACGTTTCGTTAGAAAAGCCAAACGAGCCTTTCGAATCCGTGATGAGATTTCGTCAGACACCAACGCATTAGGGCTGGTCAGACTTCCAAGATAGATTAAGCTGTCAACGCGTTCGATTACTTCACTCCCTATCCAAAGTTCAGGTGTTGACGCAGGCCAGTCCTGAAACGCATCCCAAATATCCTGGCATTGTTACTCAGTGCTATCAAAAGACTGCATCTTATCAGCATCTTCACCAAACAGGACTATGTCATCTGCGTATTCTAAGTCGATAAGTGGACCTCCTGGTAGGAGATCAATGCCCGAAATTTCAATCGATGAGAGTTATTTTCATCAGTAGGTCTATGATGAAGTTAAATGAAAATAGAGAAAATGGATAGCCTTGATGGACACCACTTGAGGTTGCAAAATCAGATGACAGTTAACCATAAGCTTTGACTCGACTAGTAGTGCTTGAGTAAAGAGCCGTCACAAGGTTTATGTACTTGTGAGGTACGCCTTTCAATGACAGACACTGACAAAGAATCTCATGGTGAAATCAAGAAACCTTATGTATAAAGGTGTACATTATAATAAGTTATGATAATATTGTAGGACTGATCCGTCAGTATAGAAAGATATATGAAATATGTAGAGAAATTGTTCACTTTCACATGGGATAGATTGTACGGATGTAAATTTAATGAATTAACACTGGTATACATTATCTTGTTAATGTATGTGTATAGTAGTAAAGATTTTAGAAATTGAACATGAATAAATTCATGTTCTTATATTAAAAGATTGTTAGAAGGAATAATATAAATTATTGATGGGATTGAAGTGTTATTTATGTAATGATAATAATTATTATTTGAAAAATTGGTATGATGTAACAATGGTTGTTGTTAATTGGCAAAAATATTACTTGTATCAAAAATATGAGTAGTATTGATATGTTTTGTATCTAATGGAATATATCATGGTAATAACAAGAATAACAGAGTTGAACTTATATAGTTATTTGTATATGACGGTGAACATGATAGATAGTATTGTGAAGGAATAAAAATAAGACTATTAATATTTGTTGTTTTTTGTAGTAAAAGTAGTAGGAATTGTAGCAGTAACAGTGTAGTGAACAGAACACAGGTGGGGACAATCGAAATATTTTAAGCACAACATTACAGAGTTACTTGGTAAAATAGAAAAACTATACTATGATACTTAATGTGCAAAATGTTCAATAATTGTCTCGAAATTCATTGTTCTTGCATTTCCATACTAATTGCTTTCTATCCCCGCTCTTCCTTTCTTGATCTTTCCCATCTTCTGCTGCCAGACATTACATTCCTGACTCACGTCATATACTACTTATATCAATATAAGTAGCACGCACCACAACAGTATTATACAGTGTCTGTAATGTACTTAAATATGGTTGAGTTGATGGATTGATGGTTAAATAGTGCTTAAATTTCCAAACTTCATTGAAATTAACTCTTTCACACATTACAGTCTTAATAGAATTCATTAGTGATTGTTTCAAACTATTGTTTTTCTCTTCTATTTCACAGTTAATCTTATTATTTATTAAGTACCAATCATTTGACTTATGATCAATATCATAAGCTAGTATAATATTACCTTTGTACAAATCTTCATTTGAATCGCTTATTGATAGTATCGGTATACAATGTCGTACATCAGAATAATTATTTAAACGACTCAAATGTGATGCAAATGTAGTTAGATTAGGTGACATCATTCATATATATGAAATATTATGCATAGAATTGATTGTATTATTTATAATTATCAATGAATAAGTTACATTGAATATACTGCATCTATTTTTGGTAAGACTAAATCTATTGTATCAACAATATTCAAGTTATTATCAATCATGTTTGCTAAAAATCTTCTTAAAATTGATTGTACAGGATTGATACACATATTACTATTATTATTATTAGTAGTAGTAATATTTAAAGATAATAAATCACTATTGAAATGATTTTATTGGTTCATTTTAGTCAACTAAATAGTAAATATCCGTTGATTATTTTTATCACGTTTCATCTCACTTTTGGTTTTAACCAATTCAATAATTTTTCACAGTCATCATTTCTATTATTGTTTTCAATACGCCTTAGATTTTCTGATTTCAATTGGATACTTGAATAATTGTTATTATTATTATGAACCATACTATTGTTTCTATGATTCATAATAGATAGTTCATATTCTTGAAAAATATTCTCCTGTTAATAGTTTGATGATAAACAATAAGCTGAATTGTAGAAATTTAAATTCTTTTTGATTTATTATAATTGTTTTCATTTGTTTTACTGATAGTTACAGGATTGCTTTGTCCATGTTCAACTATAGTACTCTGATTATTATCATTAATCACATCAATATTAATAATAATAATGTTTAAATCATTCATCATAAGATTTTGTTTAATCTCAGATATGCCTGATACCATATTCATCTTGTTTAAGTCTTCTAATAATAAATGATTCAAATCATAAGTCAATTGAAGCTAGACCACCATGGAAAACCTGGAAGCACTGGACGGCCACAACCACCAAACTGATAATTATCATGTGCTCACAAGTGACTAGCTTCGTGAGAAAATTCTCGGAGTTCTGGTGAGAAGCCGTGACCAGTGGAGTTAACCCGTGTCGGGTAGAAACAGGTGTCTACCTTAGTACAATGGAAGATGGTCGCGCAATTTCGTGGATTGGTTGAGGTTAGACATTAACACTATTGGATGCCGGCTCAGTGGTCTAGTTGGTTAAGCGCCTGGCGCGGGATCATGGATGCGCACTGCTGAGGAGTCCCATACTAGGACGAAACGGCCGTACAGTGCTTCCAGGTTTTCCATGGTGGTCTAGCTTCAATCGACTTATGATTTCAATCAAAAACTTAACAATCTCCACAACACCTAAACTGATAATAAATGATTATTTTCCATTGTTGAATTAGTCAATCGTTTTTTGAAAAATAAGGAAGAAAGGAAATCAATCGGAAATCCACTTATCATATGATGAAAGCCTAGTAAGTAGAAACATACAACCTGGATAATAATAATAATAGTACATCTTAAATATCTTTTGAAGGTTATGATAGGGTGATAAGTAAGAGTTATAAACTTAAAATCCTACACATGAATAAATAAAACGTCCCAAATAGTAATAATAATAATGGGTTAATCGACCAACTAATACAGTGTTAATTAAAGAAGAAAAGACGTAATAACTAAATTTTATTCACTAATCAGATTCAATTTAACGGTGACAAACTCTCAAGAATAGGGCTTATTATTGTATATATCAGGCTGAGGTTACCTCAGATATTTTCGCTTTTGGTCATATCTCTTTCTGTACAGTTAACAGTAGTAGTGAAGTGTAATATTGGACATGGTCATAGCAAACGGTTGTAGATAATTCATGTCCGTTGAAATGAATTTCATTTCTTTAGACCATGATGAATTTAGACAATAAGTATGGTATACAGTGTAAAAAATGTTGATAATGAGCTATTACAAAAACATAATCTAATATTCTCTGTACAACAACCATAAGTATATTCTTACTTCATCATTGTAAACTTGATCACAAAATGTTATTTAAACTATATGTTATTAAAATGTTTGATAA